CGGGGCTAAAGATCACCGGGATCATTAGTCCCGGTTGGTATTACCAACCGGGACTAAAGTTAAGATCTTTAGTCTCGGTTGGTAGCACCAACCGGGGCTAAAGATCACCGGGATCTTTAGTCCCGGTTGGTATTACCAACCGGGACTAAAGTTAAGATCTTTAGTCCCGGTTGGTGCTACCAACCGGGACTAAAGATCCCGGGGGGGCCTGACAGGTCCTGACAGCATTCGAACCGGGACTAAAGATGATCTTTAGTCCCGGTTGGTAACACAAACCGAGACTAAAGATCAAATATGCCCGTTACCCTTTTGAACCGGGACTAAAGATCATCTTTAGCCCCGGTTTTTATTGCATCCGGGACTATTGTGGAAATCGGCCGACCGACGAAAGATGGTTTCTCCACCAGTGAAGAGAAGAAGCCATATATATGACTATAGTTGACTACAAAGCTATAGCAAAACATCAAACATGCATGGGCTTCCACACTTGTAGTACACTACTATACCTGTTCCTGCAGCTGCCTGCCTGCATATATTGATCCTACATGATCAAAACCAAGAGGCAAGAGCAAGAGCATCGATCCATGCAGACAAGGCCACTGCATATAGCCACTTTTGCTGGTTAAGCTAGCTAGCAGCTTGCTATCGAGAGAGGTGTAGCATGATTAGCTTAGGTTCTCTGGTCTCTACCTAGTGGGTCCCTATGTATCAAGTACTGTTGGTGTATAGACACTTAGACAGTGTGCATACCTCATGATGCATCGTCTATATATGCACACGGTGGACTGTGATGACCGACTCAACTCAAGTCGATCATTTCCAGTCTCCAGCTAGTGTACTGCACGTACTACTCCTGTGGAGGGATGTATGGAACATGCATGGTTAATTTTTTATCTGCAAAAGGAGTGGTAGAAGTTAATTTAACCACAAAATTTCAGTGAATGTTTGGTTGGTTCGATGGAACAACGCATATAATGTGCAACATTATTAACATATATGTGCTTGTTGGCCAAGAACTTTAAGACCAATGGTGATCATAGATAGACCAACAAACGGGTACATTGGACATGTACCCGGTCCGTGCAAGCGCACATGTATCAATGATAAAAGTCAATTAGGGAATATAGTTGAGAAGATGTAGATTATCATGGCCATATTGAGAGATTTGATATGCAGCTTTTAGGCAGTCACCTTTTTGAAAGAAAACAACAGATAAATGATCGAGATAAAGTAATTAAATTCTAGATAACGGCTAGTTAATAGTTCACTGTAATATCCATAAAAAAAATAACTCTTGAGAGTTATCTAATCAATACGAGATCTAGCTAGTTAATGAGCATGCGTCATATATCCTAATATTTCTTGAAATCCCCCTGTACAAAGGGAAAGAATTAATATGTTGTTAGTTTTTTTCAGATTCGCTTTGTATGTGGTCAAAGAATAATCCAGTTTTCCACATAACGGCACCAAATTAAAGGCCACCGTGACAAGAAGGTTGCCTAACTTTTCCATAGTGCACATATGAACAGTGCTCAACATTCAACTACAGTCACCGTGGGTCATTCAGATCCAATGGAAAAGGAGAAAATAATATATGTACACTTCATATTCATTTCGTGTGAGATGAGCAACATATGCAGTTTATTTAACTCCTCATGATAAGAGATTTTATGTGCGACATTCCAGTGAACTTTGCAGCTGAAAGCTTATGTGCTAGCTAGTGGCTTAAAGTGGGGTATATATATATAGTGGTGTCTAAAACCTTTTCTTTTCTCAGATTTAATTATTCTCCCCTCCAATATTGACTAATGTTTTTTTCGTTGAATTCCTCTTATGCCGAATGGAAAAAAATATTAGCTTAATCCTTTATTGACCCTTATATTTTAGGGGAGCATGCACAAATCCATCATCCTGCAGTCAAAATAATTATTTAATTTCCTTGGATATATATCAAATTAAACAAAAAAGAATGCGGTAAAAACAGAAGAACAAAATTATGCATTCTTCTAAGCTGTTTGGTCTTCTAAATGAGGGGCCAGGTTATCTATTTGTCTCCTACAAACATCTTTATCAAATTACATTCTACATATATATGATTTCACGTGCAATTAATAGGAGGGAAAAAGACCGACTACAGCTGCTAGGTAGAGTAGCTAGCTCCAAAAACTATATGCAGAAAATCTCAGAAAGAAAGCAAGGAGAGTATGTAGGGTGATTTATTTTATTTATTTTCTCTCTTGTTGTTGGGCACAGAAGGGATTAAAAGGGACCCTAAAATTTGACATTGACAGTGATGTGGGTGAGGTCCCAATAATTGAGTACTTGCTGTGGCCTTTGCTCTCGAGCCCTGTGCAATACACGAGTTGACTCTTCTTTTACTCCCTTTCACTCATTTCAGTCCCTTTCTGTCCCCATCCAAAACCACATGAATGTGCGTTGTATGTATGTACACTGTTCATGTAGTATGTGTCGTTGGTGTGTGTACGCACACATACATATGCAAAGGCAAAGGATGAAAGGAAGGAGAAAGAAAGAAAAGGAAGGGAGAGAAGGAGCTAGAGAGATGCATGGAGAGGGGAAGAAAGAAGCAATGCCATAATGCCCAAATCCCTATGCTTAACTAACTCTCATTCGCTTTGGAGTTTGGGGGGTCTCACTTGAGGAGCATATGCATGCAACCTGAAGTGAGAGGATGGTGCCTAGAGAGGTGTGCCATTGGGTTTTTGAATGCATGACGCACTTCTCCTTGCTATGGATTGATTGGATGCAGCTAGCAGGAGTACTTGTTTTTAAGTACAGCAAGATTTTGGGGGGAAGACAGTTGTAGAGCGACTGATCAAAGATAACCTAACTAATCAGCCCCAGGAAGGTTGTCTCCATTGATTAAATATACAAACTATTAATTCTTGACTTAAAAAAGAAGCCGCTCATTGATAATTAGTTTGGGCTGACCAAGGAGAATAACCAACTCTTATTAGTCCCCATTTAGAGAGCCGAAGATTACGAGAAACAACTATAGAGCTTGTTCACATTGTAGCCAAAATAAACCTTAACAAATTTTGGTATTTCCAAAATTTTGACAGGATTTCTTATGTATTTACTAAATTTGGCAACAAACTAAACGTAGACATTTTTTTTACAACTTTAAAAAAATAGTATGGTTGAAAATAGCATCAATCTGAACAGCCCCATGGTAAGTTGGTAAGAATTTGGAGAAGCCAGTAGCTAATAGTTCATTTCTTGTTTAGCTATTGTCAGAATCTAGGGTGAGAATTCAAGGAGGTAGTTGCAAATTCTTAGTGTAGATCCAGCTGTAAGAGCTCTCCTAAAAATGGCCTTATTAATTGGATCAGTGGAGCTATAAGATCAGGGCATGGCTTTATCCACCTAATCAAATTCTAGTGCTCAAATTTATACCGGCCATATCTGTTCATTTTAGTAGGAATTCGTCAGGTTCATGGAGTTTAGAATTGAGCTAAGCATGTGTACTCAGATGTGAGCGGGTGCAATTTCTTTGTGATAGAAAAAAAGAGAAATATCTGTGCTGATTTAGTGAGTAGGAGTAGTGACTAACTAGAAAGCTGATCATTTATCCTAACTGACTGACTCACGAAAGCTGCTCTGATCAGCTCAAACGATGGCCCGACACGATGATTTGAATTAAGACCTAACACATCGCATCACGTGTGAATGAACCTGACAACACTTGTACCACCACTGAATCTATCTGTGCACAAGAGAGAATATTGCAAAAGAGAATACAAAAGCAGATTAATCCATCGTTTTAATTATGTCATACAAATACAGGCATGCATATGCTAGTCCCGTTATCAAACCAAAGACCATTACCTCCAAGCAATTTGTAAGAAAGCCCAATTCTTGCAAGATGCATGATTATTGTAGTTCTCATCGTGCATTGCTAAGGAACTAAACGGAAAATAATAAAGTCAGGCGTGATCCCCCTTTGCCCTGCCCTCTAGGTAGTTGACACCTTAATTCCACAATAACCGTCAAAAATATTAGTTAGAAGTCTAGATATATAATGCAGGCAATTGTTTTCCATTAAGATTATGGTCTGTTTAGTTCCGACAGAAAAACATTAGCAATCCGTAATTAATAAATATTCATGCATTGGTTTGTACTTTAGTTACCATAAAAAAAAACTCAACTGGTATCAGAGTTTGCTATAGTAGGTAGTGGTATTTTGTTTAACTTAAGGTTTTGTTCGAGGACTTAAAAATAACTTTTAAACTAATGATATTGTAAACATCCTTATTAGTCAGTTATAAGTTAGGAGTATAACAATTTGGAATTCTTTATTATGTGTAATATATACTACCTCCATGTACAAACAGGGCAAGTGCTGTACTACTGACATGTCCTTCAAGTTTCATACCACTTTGCCAATGCAACCACGAGAAAGATGGAGAGGAGTAAAATAGAAAGAAAAAAGAAAGCGCGCAAAAGGCCATGCCCTTTAATTTACTCATCAATTAATTAATTAGTTCTAGTGTCTCTGATGATCTCTTTTTTTTTTCAGAAAAATGCCCCAAGTACTTGTCTCTGACTGAGAGAGGTGCCTCTGCGTAGTGTATATATATCGGTCGTACCGGTTGCACTATAGTTAACAGTAGCTTTTTGCAGCTCCAAGCAGATAGCCGGAAACAAAATGTTCCGTTTCTACAAGCAAATAGATGCAATAGGGATACCCCTTGTCCCTTGACAAGAAAGCGCAATAGAAGCTCGACTTGATAGCAACTGGGCCAACCATCACATGCTTGCATGCCCCCCCTTCCCTCTGTAGTCTCTCTTCACCTCTCAACTCAACTCAGTCCATCTACCAGTCTCTCTCCCTCTCCTATATACTAGTATATTCTACTCCCTCCGTCCCAAAAAAAAAGAAAAACCCTGGTTTTCGTGTCCAACGTTTGATCGTCCGTCTTATTTGAAAAAATTATGAAAAAAATTAAAAAGACAAGTCACGCATAAAATATTAATCATGTTTTATCATCTAATAACAATGAAAATACGAATTATAAAAAAAATTCACATAAGACGGACAGTTAAAGTTGGACACGGAAACCTAAGGTTTGCCTTTTTTTGGGACGGAAGGAGTACATCTCTACTAGCTAGTATACGTTTCACTATAGCCCATATGCCCAACAAATAAATAAATGCAACAAAATTCATACATAACAAAAAAGAATTATTCATTTCATCAAGAAGTAGAAGAAACATGCATAACAAAATAATTAGATGGTATTATATATTAAGGGGAAAAGGATAGTGAATTTTTGTACCTGGTGCAGCATCATATATAGTCGTATGTATATAATGAAGTGATTTAAATATGCACATACCAATCGGCAAAAGATAATGGATGAGGAAAAACTCACTTGTCTAGTTCTTTATCGGCCCCGTTGATTCCATTTGTAGCAACCCCTGCCTCCAATGGGCCAGCAGATGAACAGGGTAGACTCCGTAGCTTCTTGTGATCACTGAAAGATATGCTCCAAGCGTATAAAATATTTGGCAGTAGGTTGCAGTGCATCATCCCCTAGTTCAGCTAGTCTTCTCTAGATAGATCACTGCAAAAAAGAAAAACAAAAAAAAATGAGTATGTTGTTTGGGTGTGTGTTTGCAGCAATTGCAGGCCGTATTCACCCTTTAATGAAGCATTAGTAGCAGCACATGTCTCAAGATCACTAGGCAGTATCTTAAACCAGGCTCTATCATCTCCTAGCACCACTAGAGACACAAACACCTGCCGTGTTGGTCTAAAAAGGATCATTAGAGTAGGCCCCATGCCCATCCTTTTCCAAATGGTGGTGATCATGTGCTGTTTAGTAGTAGTGTTTTATGCCCTAATTGCCTCTAATGCTGCTCCCAAGAATAACCACGCCATCATTTTGCCACTCCTTGCTTGGGAGTGACCTATGCATGGTTGAATTGATGGATTCTCATGTACTACTGTATAGTAACAGAGATTTCTTCATTTGTTTATGTGATGGCAATCATCTAAAGCTTCAGGTAGTACAGGAACATGTTTATGCCCTGTGTAAGACATGTAGCAGCACAAGCCAAGAATGCGTACAGAGGATACAGCCGGAGTGGAGTCTCCTCCAGTGCTGGCATCAAATCATTTCAGAATGCAATGTACTCCGATCCTACAACACAAGCAGGGGTAATATCACTGATAAGCTCATAATCTTTTTAATTTGCAGCACAGCATAATTAGGTTATGCACTATATATATGGTTCAGGAATTGGAAAGGTGGTAGTTGTACCTCACAGTGAAGATTTTGTGGTTCAGAGAATTTGAAGCACCCGCGTTCCCACACACATTGCTTGATGAACAGCGTGTCACAAACCGCGATTCATTGATGCATGTGCAATGTTCCGCGAGACCACATCAATCAGGCTATCAATGTTTCGACTCCACAAAACACAGAGTCAATCAACAGCTGCGCCAGCATGAATGCGTGATGTAACTCCAAGGGAACAAGTTCATGCACACGTGCGCACGGCGAAAACATCTGTAGCTGCGGCCCCCAGAATGAGCGGACCATGTCTTCACTTTCCATAGTTTGAACTTTGAAGCATACAGTTGGTCACAGTCCCTGAATTATTTGCAGTGCATATATCGGCAGCCGTTTTCATCTGCCAAGAAGAGCAACCATCCAGTGAGATAATTGTACATAGTGGGAGATGCACAGTCAGGCTGTCAGCAGAAGGATTTGGCGAGTAAAACAGAACATGGGAGTGTCTCCATCAATCTGAACATAAAGGAACCTGGTCGACACCTAAAATATATAGCATGCCATGCCACTTACTGATTGGATCATGTTTAACAACACTAGGAATTACAGTTCTAGATTCTAATTAGTGGTGCTCGAATCCGGTTTCTGGAACCTGTTGAAACTCACCTCTCTCTTCCCTGTCGGCAAGCAGTCACTACATCTTTTTTTTTCTTGGAAGAAACGTCTTTTTTTAAAGTTTAAAACAAAGACGGAAGCTCTGCCTTATTTCATAACAACACGAACCCAAGAAGGGGGGCACACCAATCACCTGCGCACCCTGACCAAAAATATGCTGTGAGCTGGTTCTGACTAGGTTGGTTGAAAGGACGACATCTTTAACATCCCAAGTTCAAAATGTGTAGCATAGCCACAGAACATATCCAGAATAAAAACTTGGAATTGATATTGGAAAGAGTACTGTGAGCAGGAAAAAATCAAAAGAAAGTGACCAAATAAAAGGAAGTTGAGGGAATTAGCTAGTTCGGAATATTTGTGCAACGATGAAAGTGCCAGAGCAGTACAAGACTCTGAAGTTTGTGGTACACAGAGCACAGATATGTTGTCAGGATTGTCTAGGTTGTTTTGGCATCTATAGTGCAATATGCACAATAAAAATATAGAACATTTCTAGTAGAATTCTAGTGAAAACACAAGATGTGACAATATTATAATGATACTAGTTTCATGAAGAACAATAACTATCAACACAAGATATCTGGTTTTAGTGTAAAGACTGATCTTGACAGTGTCCTTAACATAGATTTCTTTTATTTTAGAAGGTCAATAGAAGTACCAAATCTCAACATATGCACAGTAGCCAAACAGTTTTCAATGAAGGAAGAAGACATGCTATGACACCATGATATCATGCTCACGTTCAACTGGAAAAAATACATGATCAGGTTGCATTCGTTTTGCTTCATGGAACAAATATAGGAGTCTATATTTCCGATAAAAAAAATATAGGAACCTACATGTAATATGTTTGCATCCTGTCTAAATGGTGCATCGAACAAATTGGCATCATTAGCTCCTAGTACAAAGTGTATTTGTAGCGCTTTCTGGCGAAGGAACTAGACGCACATACTTCCAAATAAAAAGCTAGAGAACTAGACAAATTCCTGAAGGAGGGATGATCAATGATGATAAAACCAAGTGACGGGGATTTCATTCTTTTGGAAATTTCTGGTTTGGTTACCCATTCCTAATATGCTGAACCAGTATGCTGTTTGAAGCAAGAGAAATCACATTTTGGGATTCATAAATCATAAGGAAACCCAGCTTATCCCTAGTGAACTTCACTTCACGTTACGTATCCAACTATTCCATTGTGGCCAGCTGTAAAGTCATCTCAAGACTTGCATCTTGACTATTTAGATACATGTACATCTTTTATGTTTCTGTCTATCTTGAAAAAAATTTATTGGACCTTTTTTTATGGGAATTACTGTCAGGCATTTGCCCAACAGTATAGCTTTTATAAAAGAATAATATTTACATCATACAAAAGGACATGAAAACCGTAAAGGAAAAAATTACAAAGATTGTAACCAATCAAAAACTAATTGTTTAAAGGGATCCTTCATTCTACACATATGCAGAAGAAGCAAACTCTTGATTGGACCTTGTTCAGTAAAACTCTTGATTGCTGAACAGAACCAAACCATGAGACAACTTTATGATGATCGAACCAGGAAAATAAGCAACATAAAGAGAATAGTTTATGCAGTACACTTATGTGACAAGTAGACAAGTAAAAATTAATCAATTTCTAAGACCAACGATTAAGAAAATCAATGATTAACGGACTAACTAGTATGTTAATAAGTTTTGATCAACTAGAGAGGTCATCATACTCCATAACTCATTTGTCTGGTAGAAATCCTGAACACCTAATTATTTGCTTGCCCTGTTAGAGATATCATGATTCTTAAAGCACGTTTTACTTTACAAGTGATAGTACTTATGATTAAGAGCTGGTTTCTATTGGTTTGTAGGCCGTGGCCCTGCTTGAAACCAGACACGGAATATCACAATACATAATCTGTTGATGCATGTCTCCGACGGTTACAATGTCAAAATCTCCATGTGGTTTAGTAATCAAATCATACGGACATGTGCCCTCATGGTGGTAACACGCAAATCGTTCAGCAATCAAATCATATGGATAAATGCAACTCGTGGTGGCAATACTAAATCCATCAATCCATCGTGTGTCTCCATGTGTTACTACTGAAAAGTGACAACTACATCGTCTTGAGAAAGCTAGTAAAATGAATTAGATTTAGTAAATAGTACCATGCCTAATTGAGAAGTTCAGAGATCAAGCAAAAGCATAAGCAGTTCAGAATTGCAACAGACCTGAAACGATCCTTGTGTGCGCCTGATTGAAACATCAGCAAGGTATAATTTCCGGCAAGCAAACTCTTCAAAAATGGATCAAATCCCTCGCTCACTCTCTCCACAGACATCAGTACCGGATCAAAGCCAACAAACTGTCACAATGGCTGTAAGGGCACTGCATGATCGATCGATTCAAGGCATATTGCACGTTAATCCGAGACAATGCAAAAACCTATTCAGATTGGTATATCAACAAATTGCATGTTCCTACTTCAGAAGTTCAGACAGGTATTCAGGCTGGCCCGGGGGCGGAGTACGAGGGGAGAAGGTACCTCAGCTGCTGCCGCGACGAGCAGGGCGCCGTCGGATCCTCTATGAAGAACCGCTCGAACCATCCGGTGAGGCGGAGGTGGAGGGCGCGTGCCGTCGAGGAGCGCCGCTGCGGCGGCGGCGGCGGCGCCTCGCCGATGAGGGAGCGGAGCCCATGGGCTTTTGGACTTTGGAGACGACGAGGCTGGCAAATTGCAATGAGGTCCCTCCAGTTACCTGTATTTGCATTTTTTGCGTGGGGAAGCAGCATCTGGTAATAGATCCTGGCCGTTGATCTACGAATGAAAGGGCAAGGACAAACCACAAATCATTAGAGAGCGAGAGAGAGGGGGGGGGTACAGATGTACGGAGTACAATAGTGGAGTATCACTTAAAATTTACAATTAGCTCTTGTACACGTGTTACAATTAGCTGATAATCCATCTATTTTAAAAACACAGGCCTAAGAACAACATTAGCTACACAAACTTTTCAGAATTTCATTTATCAGGTGAGAACAATCACAAAAACATACAGGCCTAAGAACAGCATTAGCCACACAAACTTTTGAGACATTTCATTTATCAGGTGAGAACAATCACAGGGTTCATCATTCTTTTCTGAAGAAAAGAAAAGATGGTTACAGATACCACAGAGGGCTAATGGAAAGGGGGGCTAGAAAACGAATGTGGGAGGCAACTACATACATAAGATACCTATAGCAAGTAGCAACACGAACAAAGAACATCTGAACATGCAATGGAATTACTGTTGTTCCTACTATATCGAAGTCTAACAAGGGGGCTTGGTTCCAAGTCCCACTAGCTATTCATCACTGAAAGAATGAAATCACTCCAGGAAAAAAAAAAGCCTATTGACTGATCTTGCACCCACGAACATAGGTGTGCTCGTAGTTGATGTACTTTGTCCAGTATGGTCGGTACTTCGACATTGCAATCTCCAGCCATGGCTTCATGTTCCCGTTGTAGTGGATGACGGCGGCGTTATCTATTTCTGAGCGCTCGATGGATGGGTTGTACCCTAAGCCAAGAACATGCCATGATTTGTCCAGGGGATGTGTTAACTTGTAGAATGTTAGGAGACCTGGCGGCAGTGTCCCAAGCTTCCAGAGCAGCCTGTTTTCATTCTGTAAAAAGAACAAAGTGTGAAGCACAGTAGTGGAATTTGTTTAGTACTGTATGCTACTGTTTGTGATATAGAATGTGCATCTCACAAAGTGCATATTATGCTTTTACTAGTTTTAGAAGCTAAGAGGGTGCATGAACTGTTGTTAGTGCAGAACTGCATATACTACATTTGCTAGTGAAAATAATAGGAATTGCAGAAACTGAAATATTGCATGTTATAGCGAAAGAAATTTGCCATTGAAATTTCTACAGAAAAATGGAAACAGTAATATAAACCTTATTTCAACTTACCATGTTCTGCCATTTGTGATAAATGCCAGTAATGTCCTTCTTCTTCCATTCTTCCAAATCAAACATATTCATTCCATACGCCCAGCCACAAGCATTAGGATCGAAGTTCTGAGCAATATTTGGATTTGAAAAATTGAGGTACTTGTCAAAACGGTGAAAACTCTCCCCACATGTTTCCACAGCACCATTTACATTCCCATTTAGATCAACCTCCCAGAGTCCTGTCAAATCCTTCTGAACAACTATGTCATCATCCAGGAAAAGGATCTTATTCAACTTAGGATACACTTGAGGAAGGTAGAATCTTAAATGGTTGAGCATGGAAAGATATTTGGGGTTCCTATATTTCAGATTAGAAGAACCAGCAGAGAGAGTTTTTGGACGGTCTGCCTTAAAATAGTACTCTTTCATGGCCACAGATTCAAGCTGCTTCAGAACAGGGCAATATGAAGAGTTCAGCCATTTGAAGTCATCCACGTTTTCAACATGGATTGTCGCATCTCCAGGTGGATTCAACAAAAACCACATGTTCATTGCTCCAAAGTTCAGCTTGTCAGTAACAAGATGGAATACATGTTTCTCAGGCTCCTGCATGGTAGAAAAATGAGCAGTTTTTACCGAATACATGTTTCTCAGTCATTGCCAAGAAATTGCAATTCCAAATTGAACTCTAGATTGCACTTACCTTTGCATTCATGATGGTTGAGTTCACCACAACTGAAGCTGCCAAAACATTGTCCGAAAAAAGGGCATAGTGATAAAGATCAGGATTTTCTAAGTTCTCACTCTTCGGAAACTTTCTTTTCTCTGGGGAGAGAAGGTAATAGTCTATCGTTAGCCGCATGGACAGGCAATGGATGCCATTTGGGATTGTCTTCGCCGCTAACTGGCTTAGGAAGGTGCTCTGCTTCTTTAAGCTCCTGACCTGCTCATCAGCTGACTGAAGCATCGCTCTTAACCGCTGAGTAATTGCCTTGCAATCATATAATTGATCTCTTGCTTTTGCTAGTAACTGGCCCATTACTTTGACTCTCTCAGAAGCACTTCAAATAAGTAAGAAAAATTAGTAGTGCAAAAAAAGGAAAAAAAAAGACCTAAAGAAGAGTTTAAACAGAAATTACCTCTTGGGAAGTTCAGCATCAGCAGTAGCTTCCCCAAGGGAGCGCTGGCTTTCCTTAAGCCTGGAAAGTAGATCCTGATGAAGATCGAGCTTGTCCCTGGATTTGGCAAGCACAGAATATATTCTGGCCATGATCATTTGATCACGCATCAGACGAACCTTTGAATCTGCTTTTTCATTTTCATTCTCACGCCTCCATATGCTATATTTTCCAAGGACAGCCGAATCAACGGCTTTTGAACGTTCAATTCCAGCATTCTCAAGCTTAACTAGTGCTTCATCATCCTGCTGTACTGGTTCAATCTTCTTCTTTATTCTGGTTCTCTCCCGCAATTTCTGTAGTAAGGAAATATAAAAAAATGCTTAAGAAACATAAGGTCTCATTTGGAAACAAGTAGTAATGCTAAAAGAAATGGCATAAAAAGGATGGACACTTCTGTTCGGAATTGTAATACAAGAAAAGCTAGAATATCCCTAGTTAATTTGCAAGGGCTTTAAGTAGAAGAAAGTTACCCTGTGAGTTACTTCTTCTGGTCTTACCAGCAGCTGAAGTCCATCTGCATTGAGAAATAAAGCACCCACATTGAATGGATTGATCTTAGTAGATGCAATCATATAGAATTATAGATCTGTCATTGTTCACTAATTATCACCTTCTTCAGTTAAGGAGAAATTCTGTAGTTTAATGTTGGCTTGACTACTCCAGTCCAGTACCTAGTATCACAAAATTGTGGCAGTAAGAAAACATGCTTCAATAACACCAATTAAAGATGTAGAAATGAAGGATAAGTCTTCAAACCTGTTTACTAGAATAAAGTGGGTCCACTTGGGCTGCACAAAGCAGGAACACTTATTAGAATGACTTGATGGGATATGCTCTAAAACCATCACGAGTGTCCAGAAGGTGATTGGATGGCTTAGGTATAATGAGGAAACATTTCATGAGAAAATTGTTCCTAACAAGCTAACACAAGCGTATAAATTGTGAACAGAAGGGGTAAAGTTTATTTATCAATCACTTCCAAGTCCAACCCCAAAGTAAGTTAAACTTTAAACAGAGAACTTAATAGAATGATGAAGGGACATTATCTTCTTAACAGGTGAGAGCAATATTCAAAAACTGAGAGAATTGATTGCTTCCAAAACTAAATGGCAAGCAATGCCGTACAGAAAAAATGTAATGATAAGGTAATGTGGTCAGGTCATACACGAATCCTATATGTTTGAGTAAACTGATTAACTTTAACTCTGAACACAAGAAAACGCGAGCATATATATAAACCCTGAACTTTGTCAGCATATGTCACTGGGATGCAACATGAAGACTATAAATTGCGTGGAGTATAACAAACACTTATGTCTAGGATAAAATTATATGCCTGAAATTCCAGCAAAATGTTCCTAGGCATTACGAAGATGACACCAGTAGTTATTTTCCCTATAAATATCATGTTCTCGTTGGAAACAGTGATGGCCTGACGGGTATGGACCCTAAAACTTGTCAGAGCATGCTGTTCTAGAAAAAGGTCTAGTAGACCCATATAATCAATTGGTAAGGCCAAATATTCAGTAGGTGCTTTCACTAAATTATCTAGGCAATGCCGGATGGCTGGGTAAAATGCAATCCACCTGGTGAAACAACAATGTAGGCACCATTTGGATACCCAATTTATAAAGGCTTACTTATGACACAGCCATGTTGATGGACACAAATGGCTCTTCCTAGCCATTGTGCAAATGTCATCAACCGTCACTTCCAGAGCACAGTAACGTATATCTAAAATGTTGCGTGTGAAGTGTAAACTACTACAGCTAGTTCAATATGTACTGTATCACTTTATACACAAGATACCGAGTAAAAATACAATTAATACCAAGTGTTTCCCATGCATGACAGAGAGAATGGTAATCACATTATGTCTATCAACAGATATTGCATGACAAAAATTTTCCGCTCTCCAGTCTCCACTTAAATTTCAAGATATTCTCAATATACGGTCGCATTTGGCAGCTGTTAAAAATTAGAGTAGCTGAGCTGCGGACAGATCAACACATGCACATAAAACGCGAATTCACCCTAGCCTGACAATCGAAAGCCAAAAATTTCCACATTCCACAAGGAGCAAGATAAAAGTGCAGCAGCATCACTGTAGGTGTTAATCTGAGCATCTCATCTAGAGAAACAAACGCTGGAAAGAAAGAAAAAAACGAAACTCCTCACCTCCGGTGACGGCGACAGGGAAGGCGGCGAGGGCGCAGAGCGCGACGAAAGCCATCGCGCGAGCCCCCGCCATTCCCGGCCCAATCTAGCTCAAAATCCACGAGACCAGCCACGCACTGGCCCCAAAACGAAAACAAAATCGTAAGTAAAAAAACACGCACGAGATTAAAACGAGATTGCCCACACAATCGGCGGAAATCAAGCACGGCCAGGGCTGAAATCGACGGACCGGCGAGGGGAGGGCGCGGCGGCGGAGGTAGATCGGCGGCGGCGGCGGTGGCGGAGGGAGGAGGGGTCGCGCTCCGCGATCCGCTCCGGGATGTCGGTGAATCGCCTCCTCCTCCTCCGGCTTTTGGAGTGGGGACTGCGAGTGTGCCTGCCAGCCAGGGGTGAACTGCATTCTGTTTCTGTGTGCGGGTTTCGTTCCATGGGCCATTGGGCCTAACCATGCTCCAGGCCTGCTTAAAAGCCCATTTACTCGGTATGTGACCGACAATTAGGCCCATTTCAATTGCAGGGGAAAGGAATAAGTTCTCACTTTAGGTCGCTCACTCAATTTGTCGTCGACTTTCAAATTCAACCTTAAACCGCAATACCTAAATGACGCGTTACTCAACTTCCAAAACCAAAATAAGATCTCAAGATGGTTTAGATGGTTGTTTCAGCTGATGTGGCATCTATGTAACATTTGACGTGACATTTAAACTAAAAAAAACTATGGGACCCATGTATCAGTGACGGTCTGGTTAATTTTTTTTAAAAAAAAATACAATGGACCCATGTCTCCCTGTCCAATCTCCTCCTCCTCCCCAACATGCCACCATATATGCAAAGCCGCAGTCAGCGTCGTCGTCGTCGTCTGCCAGTTCTATCGCAACGAACCTCGTCTGTCGGTTCTACCTAAAACGAACCTCATTGTGGCCTCTCACCGGCAAGTGCCACACTCGCACGAACAGCCAACCTGCCCATGTTGATGCTCGACAGTGGCTGAGCGAGCATCGCCTTTGACATCACGAAATATAGCTCCCCCACCCGAAGCGACTTTGCCGTGGGCCAGCGCCAACAGGTGGTTTTCAAAGTAGAGCGCATCAGAGTTGCGCATGAAGAAGGACGCCGTGTCAGCGCCATCGTTGTCACTGAGCACAGCTACACGGGAGGAAACCGGGGTACACATTAAGGGCTTGTGTTAATTACTAACTTAATTTAACTTATCAGCGCCACACAAAAAAGATAGATCATTAGCACATACATAATTTAGTACTGATTATTATATTTTTTTAAAAATAAGTTTATTTAATTATTTAAAGAAACTTTTATAAAAAAGTTTTTAAAATATACTATATTTAATAGTTTAAAAACATGCTAACGAACAATTAGAAAATTATAGTTTTAAAAAAACGAAGCCTTAAGCTTAGCTGAGGTGTCGACTTGAACTTTCTGTTACGAGTGCGTGTGATTAAATCTTTAGCAACTTGTTTGGAGCTAATCTATTAATCATTCCAAGCTGCCTGCTGCGATTGTCGGTTCGGTCATGTGGTTAGGTGTGTGAGTGTGGCTTAACTTAATTACCGTTGGAGTGGTTGCTTCATTTCTCCCATCAAACAAAAAATGGCTGGTTTAGTAATTTGACTGCTCGTGTTGCCGGTCAATTCGACGATAATTTGGTTATTTTAATCACACACAAAAAGGAAATTTGATTATTTTACTTGCTGCTAGAACGACGCATCGAGATCGCGTGGTGGAAAAGAAATTGAAAAAGGGGTGGTCACGTGCTAAGTGCTGTACTCTTTGGCTCGACGGCCGGATCGTGTGGTGGCCGGCCATCGGACGGCTGAGATGAGAGATCCACTGGTACTTTTGCACTATGCTACCTATGATCTCTCCTATTTACAACTAGAGGGCAGAAGCGTCGGTTAATACAAGGAGGGAAAGGAGGTAATTAATTAACGCGCTAATCCAACGAACCACTCCAAGTAAACGCGTGCCGTGTTACTTCCATGCGAAGTATTGAGAATCTATCCGAAAACGAATGTGTGCGTGTGCGTTGTTCGACGGTTACGAAGAAATTGAACGCGACAACGAGTGCATGTCATATTCAGCTGTTATATCATGTCATATTATCTATTTTTAAGAGGGTATCATGTGTTGTGTCCATGTCCTATGTGGCTATGTGTATATACATATGTACTTATTTACCAATTCGAGCTATATGTCTCTATCTACATTTCATTATTGTTATATCTGCTTAATAAATATGCTTTTGACGTCGATAGAGTGGTTATGCGTTATCAGTTTGCATATACAGGATTATGTAAGGACACTTTCAGAATGCGACAAAAGTTTTCAAATAAGTAGAAACCAAACGTCTCCCGTTAATTTTATCTATGTTCATTTAATGTTTCTGTTGGAAATAATTCATAAGTTGCCAGAAACCGGAGATTAAACTATTTCCATTATTAAGAAAAATAATTCCTAAGGTTAGTCTGGATCACTTTTTAAATTCGAACAAAGAAGTTGACTTTTCGTAAAGAAAATATTCCCACACTACTTTGTTTACATGTCAACGTTGCAAATTAACAGTTGAGATTCAACTGCCACAAATTTTATGTAAAAAAAAGGATTGCAAACAGCAACCCCATATCGTTTTCGAAATCTTTCGTCTACTTCAAAATTCAAATGCTCACTAGCACAAAGTACAATCACTAGTATGCTGTAAGACAAAGATTAAGAATGAAAAAAACACAATTCGTGCAACTACGGGGACCGAATCGGGAAAAAAAAACAACGACATAATCTGCAGTTTACTTGTACCCACACCCACTGTCTCGTATTCTATTCCTCATTCCTTCTCTTTTTTTCTCGCTTTGTTTCTCCCGTCGTCTGATCCACCACCGCAACGCACGCACGCACGCGCGCCTCCTCCTCCCTCCGCGGCGGCGACCACCGCGCGCGACGCCATCGCCGCCACCTAGGGTTAGGGTTCCGGCGACCCCCACCCCCGGCGATCGCGCGAGGGATCCATCCGTCCTCTCCTCCATGTCCACCGACCAGCCTCACCTCCCGCCCCCCGCGCCCCCGCCCGGCGCCGCGGCGGCGGATCCCCCCGAGTCCACCCCCGCGCCGCCTCCGCCGCCGCCGCTCGAGCCACCCGAGGTGATGCACAAGACGAGGGCCGTCGACTTCCTCGGCCGCCGCACCCCAATCGTCTACCAGAACGACAACGGGCCGTGCCCTCTCCTCGCCATCTGTAAGAATCCCCCCACCTTCTAGATTCCCTTCGGGTTTCAATTCGCCCCCGCGCGCGCGGCGTTGTGATGTGTGGGGTTTTGTTTTGGTTGCTGCAGGTAACGTGATGCTGCTGAAGAATGTGATCAGCTTGAACCCGGACGCGGGCGAGGTGTCGCAGCAGAAGCTGCTCTCGCTCGTCGCCGAGCGCCTCATCGACTCCAACAGCAATGTGCAGGTTCGATCGGTCCCCGTGGGGTTAGAGATGGGGGTTGTTTGTTGTGTTGCCTTGTGAATTGGTTGTGGGGTGTGATTCGCAGGGTAAGGACGAGGAGTATGTGCGCAACCGGGAGCAGAACATCTCGGATGCGATTGACCTTTTGCCGCGCCTCGCGACCGGCATTGATGTGAATGTGATGTTCAGGAAGTGAGTCCATGGTTCGGTTTGTCGGTTAGCGGTTTGTTGTTTATGGTGCTCTATATGTTCTGATATGATTCGGGCTGTGGGCGTTGCAGGATCGATGACTTTGAGTTCACCCGAGAACGTGCCATATTTGACCTTCTGGATATCCCGCTGTACCATGGGTGGATAGTAGATCCCCAGGTATGCATCTCCTTATGGCATGTTTGTTTGGTTTAGCCATGTTGAACTTCTGTATCTAGACAACTGGATCGGCGTGCGGGTTAGAGTTTACTGTACTTCTTTCGACATGGAATACAATAATTCTTGTGCTTGGAGATAACTTCATGTGTATACCATTCACAGTTTCTGTTATTTAGAACAGAGACCATGTGTTCATGCTTACCATCTGCAACAACACTCAATAAAAAAAGGAAGTGTAATATGTATGCCAGTGTACTTGTCCCCCCCCCCCCGATATATACCTTATACGGGCAATGTTTACCATTGTTTTGAAAACTCGTTTGAAAGCTCTATCAAGTAGCTACGTGGTGATTCTATTTGATAACTGGTAGCACTCACAGCTATTGCTTGGTTTCGCAAATATGTATCACATTTAATTAAGCTAGTTTTCTACATTGTTTCCCAACTATGTACTAGTTAAGATCCTCCAATTTGCAATTCAGACAGTGCGGAACTTCCTCGTCACAAATATATGTTGTTTTCTATGTTGACGCGGTCTTCAAACTACAACTTCTGATCACTAATTTCTTTTATGAGTAAAAGCAAGACAATCACTCTACGTTGTTTTCCAACTTTTTACTAGTTAAGATGCTCCAACCTGCAATCCAGACAGTGTTGAACCTCCTCGTGTCACAAATATATGCTGTTTTCTATGTTGACATGGTCTTCAAACTACAACTTCTGATCAGTAGTTTCTTTTAGGAGTAAAAGCAAGACAGTCGGACTGGCTCTATGGTTGCGTTTTGATTTGAGTATTGTATGTGATGCTCCAACAAAAAGCGTATACTTGTGTCTAGACATGATAAGTTTCTGTAGCAACCAAAACTTAATATAGGATTTATTTATCTTGTGCAATACAATTTGTTAAGATAGCCAGAAGGATGCTCGAACAGCATAGTCAATACCTCCCTACATGCTGGATGCATAAGAGATTTCGCTTGCCTCTTACGTCTGCAATTCTCACCTGCATGCTAATTCTGATTGTTTCATATTTTTAGGATACTGACACTGCTACTTCCATTGGATCAAAGTCTTACAATGCTCTTGCATCTGGGCTTGCTGAATTTAAGTCGGGGGAATCAACAAAAGAGAATAGACATGTACAGGAGGAAGAAACTGTTGATTTTGCTGCTGCAACTACTGCAGCACTAGGGGTTCCTTCTCCTAGTGTTTCTCGAGGTATATCATTTGATGAAAATACACTCACTGACCCAGTTGAGTTGCACATAAGACGAGGCGATCGTGAGGAAGAAGAGGAACTAAGGAGAGTCCTTAGTCTATCAAAAGCTGAAAATGCTAATGCTGTTGATGGATCTGGTTCCTTTGACACTTCACAGTCTCATTCATCCTCAAATATGGAGGAGACAGCACACACTGAGAGCTTCCAATTAGAGGCAGTCGAGGCGATGGATTCAACAAATAAGGAGGAACATGGCAACAGCCATGCTTTGAGCGATGGCCCTATGTTACAGGACACCACAAATGCTGCTCCTAATATTAATGAAGTTGGGATGGAGGAATCCCAACAGGTTTTGACGTCTAATGAACTAGAAGACGATGGGAAAAGGAATATCTTGCCAGAGCACTCTGATATAACCATTCAACCTTCAGAGTCTGTGCTTGACTGTTCCTCTCATGAGTCTTCTGCTCCCAACCAAGCTGCTCCTGCCCTTGGGCAAGTTGATAAAGAATCCTGTGAAGAACAAGCTCCCTTGCAAATTCATGGTCAGGCTTCTGACACTGAGAAAATTCATGGTCAGGCTTCTGACACTGAGATTAGCTCTGAGCTAACAACTGCAGCTAGTCAAGATACCCCAAATCATGCTACTAAAGAGCTGGATGGGGAAGATGGCAATAGTCCTGAGCCTATCATCTTAAACCTTCAGGAAAGTGAGCCAATATATCAAGGAGAAGAGCACATACTTAGCACTGGAAATTTGGCATATGAAAATCAGGAGCCGGTTTATGAGGGAGAGGTGGTTCTTGCTGAACAAGCTGACAAGACTGAGAAAAGTAGTGAGGACATGCAAGATGGGCCTGCAGAACATCAATGTGAGAATTTTGTTTGTCCTGTCATCTATTATGTATTTGTATTTGTTTGAAGATCAAACACACATGAATATCCAGTGCATAATGTTTGATATTACATTTTCTTATTTGTTTGCAGGGGAACTAATAGATAATTTCCTTCAGAACACTGCTAGCCAGCTAACTGTCTATGGGTGCGTACTTACTATATAGGTTTAAACCTCGTGTATATTTCTTATTTATACTGTTAACTAATGCCTGGGCGAAATTTCTACATTACAGTTTATTTTGTCTACAAGAGGGTCTTAATGAAAGAGAGCTGTGCGTCTTCTTCCGTAATAATCATTTCAACACAATGTTCAAGGTATGATGATTAATTAAGTTATAGTCTCCAGTTTCTTTAATAAGCCACCCAAGTTAAGTTCTTAAGTTCTTTTTTGGTGCAGTACAATGGAAGCCTATATCTCTTAGCCACTGATCAGGGTTTTTTCAGCCAAAGTGATTTAGTATGGCAAAAGTTGGATGAGGTACACCACACCATTTCCAACAGTTTGTTTGCTCGAAATAAGGGTTCTTTTACTGATTTATTCTGTTCGCAATTGATATTCATCAGGTGAATGGAGATGGAGTTTTTCTGACCAGCAATTTCACACCATTTAAGGCTGAAAACCCGAGAAATGATTCTTGGAATGAACAGCAGGCTATGACAAGTACCGCTGTATGTGCAACATCGATAAGCTGGTGTTATCTCCATTGGTTTCTATAATGTTAACTGATTCAAATTGTATTCTGTCCACAGGACTATCTTGCTCAATTTGACAATACTACCCTGCAGCACTCGTCTGGAAAGTATGCCCTTCCTACCTATGTTTTTCTTTAAGTAGTGATGTATTGGTCAGTCAGAGAGTAGGTGTTACTGGAATCGCTGTTTTGACCTCTATGGTGTTGTGCGTCTCTTGAATGACATTTTGCTTGTCAACGCAAGTACATCTATTCAGCTATATTGATGCCACTTGAACCCAGAATATCTCTCTAGCCTGTTCTCAGCTTTTATTTTATATGGTGTTCTGCTGTCTGTAGGTTCTGGATATCTGTTTTGTTTTATGATAATTTGTTGCAACCCAAGTATGATGCTATTTCCCATGGTCAGTTCCTTGGTAGTTTGTGATAGCTGGGAATCTTGAAATTCTTGTCAAACTAATCATTTACCACTCTCCTGGTGACCAATATTTAGATATGGTTCATGGAGTTCATATGCCTGCTTATTGTGAATGTATCTTTATCTTACTTGAAGTTGACATGCTCACAAATGCTCCCCGTGCATGAGGTTAATTAAGTTCAGTCTTCACTTATCTCACAAGCACATTATAGTTAATGCACAATCAGTTTGGTATGACAATCCAGTCAACAAGTTTGCTTTACATCTTAACAAAATGTGCATGACACTGGAAGAGAATTGTGCAATGCACCTGCACACTAGTACCGTGGCTAAATTTCATTTAATACTATCGACACACTTCCTATTGTTGTTTCTTTTAGGTATTATTGCTTTTGTTTCTGCACGTGTGCATAAGGTGAGTAAGGTCTAATATATGTGTGTTGGTGTTTCTTCTGTTCTGGCAGCTCTGATCTAGAGCTAGCTATAGCACTTCAACAACAGGAGTTTGAGCGGCAACAACCTCAACGACACCAGTCGTCAACACAGCAGCAGGAGCCGGTGCCCCAGCAGCAACAGCAGACACCCAATCAATCACATGGCACAGGTCGGCCAGGATTAGTTGTTGGTCCAACAACGGCAAGGGTATGTTTTTTTGCTTTGAAGGATTCTGCCAGTAGCAAATTTCTGTTAATTAGTACAAAAAAGAATCTCATTGTTGTGCACTGCATGTTAGGATTGTTATATTTGATTTAGATGATATCTGTCATAGCTTGTAGTGCGTTGGGGGGCTTGAGGCTTTTAGTTTATAAGGTTAAACTTGCTCTGGAGTCACCAGTTTGTCGTAAGGGGCTTGGGGCTTTTAGTTTATAAGGTTAAACTTGCTTTGGACTGGCATATGCAATTTGGTTTTAGGATTGCCGAATTATCCACAAATATGATTAGTCTTTTTGAAGCAGAACATATGTTCTCCGTATACTTTTATGCAAGGTTAAAAACTCATGAAACCTGCATCCTGCGGCTAAAATATCAGAAAATCACCTGTTTTGTCTCTAGTATACACCTGAACCCAACCAACAAGCTAATTTACTGCACAAACTGTCGTTATGATGTTATATCAAGAGGAAAATAGAGTTAATACTAACATGTTCTAAGGAGCAAGCAGATCATGGGGTTGAACTTTTCGTTTTCGTTCTTTTCCCCTTATTTTCATCTATTGCTTGATCCCTTGATCGTGTCAGAACCGAGGACACGTGGTTTTACTTGTTCCAATCCGTATTATACAACTAGTATACCCTGTTTGATGGATCTGAATATGGAGTGGTTTGATCTTTGTTCAGAGGCCACCTGCTCCACAGCCGACGACGCCGAAGAAAGAGAAGTGCATCGTGATGTAAAGATACAACATATCGGAGACGGGACAGGAGAAAGGAAAAGGGAGGGGGACAAGGAGCATCACATAGTATACTGTAAAGAATCTTCTTGTCTACTCTTCTTCTTTAGTGCCGCGGCATAGCAGCAGCCTGTTGTTTTTTTAGCCACTTTTCCCAATCTTGAGCGCTCTTCATTTTGCGTGTTTTTTCTTCCCTGGTGTAAATAACCTTCAAAGAAGTCATAAAACGTAAACAGATGCTGTCAAATGATAGCCCTCCAACGCGATGTGATTGGTTCATCGTATAGTACATCTCACCCTCCTCGTCATCACAATAATAATACAGTAGAAAGCCCGGCGGCTGTTATTTTCTCTTTTTCCTAGAGACTCATTCCGACTTTCTGACTACGCGTAGCGATGGTGATGGACTGATGGTCGATAGCCTCAAAGTTCGACACATTTGGTTCCGTCTCAAAAAATAAAGAAAAAGAAAGAAATTAAAGACATATATTGATTGATATTGGGATGGACGATACGAAACAGATACTTCCATCCAGTTAGCCAAAAAGGAGTTTGTAATCATCCATCCAGTTAGCCAAACCAAACCAAACCAAAAAAAGAGTTTCTATGTGCACGCCCAGTTGGACCAATGTTGTACAGTATCATATCCACATTGCACAATCCAGCGTGCCATCACGCGACAGCTTTTCTATGGATATAAATATATATTTTTACGATATGAAACAAAATTGCGCACTATACCGGTTAGCCACTTTAGTCCAACACGCCTGAGAAAGCTACATGGACGGTGAAGCGGTTGGAAACCATCCCTCTAAAAACAGACGGAGGTCTGTCGTCTCCCACCGCGTTACAAACTCCCATCCACCATTTTTGCTCTCCCCTGCGATCAATCCAGTCGATCAAACTATCTCGATGTAGACTTCCCCGTTGATCCGGCCCGCGAAGAGCGCGATCATGAAGGGGAGCTTCCTAAGGGATGCCATCAGGTCATCCTTGCTGATTCCGTCGTCATCGTCGACGTCCAACGTCTTGAACAGCTTCATCATCTGTAATGTAAACGGTAGGCAATGACAGATGAGTCGAAACTGGGTGATGGCGTTGGAAGATAGGTGATTAGATATGTTGCATGAAGCAAACTGGCGACTTACCCCATTATCGGTCATCAGCTCAAGCATGCTTGACCGCAGGACATCGGCGAGCTGCTCCCTGCCGATGTGAGATGTTAGGGGATTCCTACACCTCTCAAACGCGGTTTCGCAGGCGTCCTGAAACGATGGCTGCTTCCTGAGGTGCGCACATCCAATCAAGAACTGCATACATCACGTCCTTGAATGTTAGTAAGCGCAAGGCATCAGTTATTATGTTGATTGTATTCAAGTTGATACCTGACGGAATGTGATGGATTCCTTGGCTTCAAAATCGAAGTACTGAAATATCTGAAAAACAGATGCACAAGTTCAGCGAAGGGTGTACTGTAACTCCAATTAAGGTTGGCAGTATTTACGCGAGGAGAATGCCAGTACCTTCTTGCAAAGAGGGGTGCAATTAAGGCCAAAATGAGCCCAAAAATCTTGCGCATTCACACGTCCGCTGCAAGGGTTAACCAGTTAAGTAATGTCATTTGTCATGATTCTGTGAAATCATGATAACAGCTTTTAGGAAATGGAGGACATCTTTTTAGACTTCACGACCAAATTATGTGCTCTGCCATAAAGCACATATTTGTCAGTGTGAGGATGAGAAAACTTACTCCTTGTCTGGGCTCATACACAAAAAGTCTTCCAAGAGTGCCATTGCTTCTGATGTGCTCACACCATATGTCTGAAAAAGAACAAAAAACATCAGGTACCATAATTGATGGAGCAGCAACTATAATGCCTCAAAAGCACCAATGAGCAAAAGAAAACCATGCATGGCAAAAGAAAAAAACACAGTAACACGGCTATGATTATGCTTTATCTATATAGTGGGTGGGACACCTCTAAATAGTTCGCATATAAATCATGCACAAACCAAGTCCTACTACAACATTTTCTTCAACAACAATACAATTTCAAAGTTTTTGAATAAGACGAACGGTCAAACACGTTTAAAAAAGTCAACGGCGTCAAATATTTAGGGACGGAGGGAGTATATCTGTAGACCAGGTCCCATATTGATATGCATATACCAACAGTGCGAATGTGGAAGACTTACTTCTTTTACCCAAGCCATCTCCACCATATAATTTGAGCAGTTCACCTGCAAATGTTAAACCCAGCCTATTAGAGATCAAATTCATAGATGATGGAAGACAGCCTAATGGCAGCTATTTGTTAATATATATCTATGCACTATGCAACGTTCCATTATATGGAATCCAGCAAACACAGTCAAAACAATGGACATGAATTCAGCATGAAGATCACACTACGACATTGCCCTTTTTACCTTTCCATCTTCCACTGCTCGAGCCATGATCATTGAATCCCCATATGAATAAGAGGTTGGAATAACATTAAGTGCATGTGCCATAGCATAGCTAGTCTGCAAAATTCAATAGTTGTAATAAAGTACTTTGTCCATTACATTGGTATGGAACGCAAAAATATGCCAAATATGTAATTATTTTGAGTCAAGAAGGATTACGTTCTCTGCAAAATGAAGGGCATTCTCTTGCTTGATCTCAGGTGGGTAAACAACAGGGAGGTACTCTACCTGTAAAAAGTATGGTTCATGTAAGGACCTTATTGTGTAAGTAGTTATTACCAAAGACATGAAGATTTTACATTCTAGGCTGAATGGAATGAGAGTGTGCACCTCCATGAAATTGTGAAACTGGGTAAACATCTTGAACATGAGCTTTCCTAATGATATATTTCCCCTGAAGCAGAAAATGAACATAAATAAAGCATTGAGGCAACAAATAAGGATTTATTTCTGTACAGATAACTTACCATGATTGATCAAAGTGCACATGTGGATAGCGCACAATAACAGGTTGAACAGGGTAGCCAGGTATGAATGCACCATGTTGGAAAGAAATCAGAAATCTTCCATTTGTTGTCGTGCCTTCCGGGAATAACAAGACACGTGGGAAGCTATTGCAAGCCGCCTTTCTCTGAAATCACATCCTAGAGAGTATGTACCATATGAACAAGATAACAAAACAGAAAATCATGCTTTGCACTATTCTAGGATGAGTTGCATGGCATTGCTTCCTGAAATCAACTGTGGTGTATTTGCATATTGTAGATGAAAGAGGAAGCTACAGAAATGGTGGCTGCAAGCACAAGTTTGTCTTTGTTCTTTTCTGCCTATTATTCTTTCTACCCCAGAAGTCCACTGTGTGCAGTAATGATAATTTGACAGCCTAACAGCTATAGGCAACAGAAAGCAACAGGATAACTTGCATATCACCAATTAAAAGATGCCTGACACCATGAGACCATCACTTTATTAAGGAAAAAGCACATGTAATTTGATGCAGTTAATTAAAAGTATGCAGAGCAACAGTGGGGTCAAGAGGAATCATTCTAACCTTTATTTCATTTACAGCAGACTTCCTTGAAGCTGGCGAGAATCTGTCAACATATATAACCTATGCATTTGTTGTAAATTTGAAACTTGAAAGTAACTTGCAAAATAGTGTCAAAGAAAGTAACTGGGAAAAAGGGCTTTTAAAACATAATGGATATACCTGCATTGCTCGGATAATTGTTCCAACAAATGGTATGGAATCATGAGAATCTGAAGAAACGATTGTCGGGAACAGCTCATAGAAGAAGTATATGGGTTCTATGTATGATACATGATTTGAGACAACTATAGGTGCAAGCTCTCTAGGCGCGGGTTTTCCTTTCCTCCTTATCCAATGGTATCTGACAGTAGAAAACAAGTGGTTAGCAAAGATCAGACAGTAAACAGTTGTATTGCAAGAAGAAAAAATGACAAACAGTAGGCACTCAGTCAGGATATCCCAGCATAGACAAGGAGCAAAAGTGAGTTGTTTCAAAATTTCCCATTAAAATCCATATGTGAGATTAAAAACCAAAACTCCAGATCATGGCCCAAAGGAAAACTTTAGTATAAAACAAAATCCACATCCAAGTGGTCTTCGTCCCCTGAAGTTTGAACAAAACGTTCATTTCTGCAACTGCTTACAGAACACGACCACCAACACTGGGCAGTTCCCTTCTCAAGTTCTCATTTTACTGCATAGAAGAACTATTGGCAGAGATGATAAGCTATGTGTGTGCTTTCTCAGCATTGACCACTCAACATTCGCTCGCAGTTTTCACCATTCTTTTCACAACAATTGAAACTTCAAACGTCTCAAAATTTGTGTGCAGAGTGTCCAATTGAGCAATTCCCAGGTGAACAGCAATCCAATTTGAACTAAGTAGCAGCCACATTTTCGATCCAACCACACAACAGCCCACCTGATTAGTGCCTCAACTTAATTAATTATCAGCGCCAAAGGCCAACAATTTTCAGAATACTTTCAGGAAGGCTTTCTTACTCTTTCTCACTATCTTCCCAAACCACCTAGTAGACAAGGCATCATCATTCATCGCTAGTCCATCTCGTTTCGATCCACAATTGTAGTGAAGCTAACCAAAGGCGCCGTGCAGAGATCAGTCTCTAACCTCTTCTGAACCACCGTGGTACCCTCCCCTCGTTGTCGGTCTCTTCCCAGCCGCAATTAGTGCAGAGAAAACGAAACAAACAACATATCTCACACACGGACCCTTCACTTCACCTTCCATACGCTACGTTGCGCCCACCTAACAAATGATTGCAGCAAAGCCACGCCCACACACACGTGCCCCAAAAATCACCAAACCCCAAAATTCCGCGAAACCAATCGCGCCACCGAATCAATCCATCCACAGATTTCGAGTGCTTCGTCTCACCACCCGAATCTAATCACCTCAATTTCATTCTATAAACTTAACAGCGGCTAATCCATCATCCGATGCAGATCGGATTAAAGTTTTTTTGTTCTAATTTCTGATCTGTCATCGATCCAGACTCGATTCTGAGTGCGCGTTTGGTGAGAGGGATGCTAATCCGAGCGACGAACAGCGGAAACTAGAACTCACCCGAAGGAGAAGAGGATGCAGCGCGCGGAGATCCGCGTGATCCACATGAGGCGGCGGCGCCACGCCGGCATGGGCCCGGCGCCCTCCTGCGCCGCCCGCTCCCGCACGTCGACCCACCCGCGGAGCGCCACCCACGTGGCGGCGTACCCCACCGCGATGGAGAGCCCGAACAGCACCAGCCTCGCCGCCGCCACCGGCGCGCACACGAGCGCCCTCACGAGCTCGTACGCCCCGCACCACCCCGGCGTCCCGTTGCGGAACGGGTCGGCCGGGGACACCCCCCGCGGCGACCACCACGCCGGCCGATCCTCCGATAGGAACGCGAACGGGTCCCCCCCTCCTCCGCCATCGCCGCCGCACACCGTTGGCGACTCCTCGTCGTCGTCGTCGTGGTTATGGTGCCCCGCGTGGCCGTTGGTGGTGGGCGTGGGCGAGATGGAGTCGGAGAGGAGCGGCGTGGAGAGGGAGGCGGGGCTAGGGTTTCGAGAAGCCATGGGTGGCGGAGGCGAGGCGAGAGGAGGCGGAGGCGGGAGGCCAGCAATGGAGGAGAGGGAGTAATGGCTTTTATGAAAGCGAAAGCTTATAGCAAGAGGAGGAAGGAGACGTTCCTTTTTTGTGGTCGTAAATCTATTTAATTTATTTCTTTAATCGTCTTCAAATAAATCCTTTATTTATTTTTGCGTTCTATCCCTCGCATTTCTGGGTTTTTTTCTTCTCGCGTTGCCTATAGTCAAGGGAGTGGTCGGTGGCTGCTAGTACTATTTTTTAAAAGAAAATTATTGGTCTCTTTTCTTAACTGATTTATAAAAGTTTTTTCTTCTCTTCACATGTGTTTATAAATAAATAATTGAGGTCCTTATTAAGTTGAATTGAGAGGTTTAAAGAATGCTTATATGTGAAGGTTGAATTAGCTTTGATTGTGTGGACGTGGATGCTCTAGTCTTCCCTCTTGTATGCTAAAGGATTAATTTAGATGAAATTAGTCTTTCAACACGTAATCCTAATAGCCTTTGAAAGCTGACATTATATGATAGAGCCTGTTGTTTTACCAATTACTGCAACGTTGCCGTTTGTAGATTTTTGTGCAGTTTATAACATGGAGTAAATCAGGAAGTTTTCGATGTGACATGCTAGATTAACTCTAAATGTGGGAATAATCAAATGTGACAAAGGGTGGAATAGTAAGAATGCTAACGTGCCTGGTAAAAAAGAGAATAATACATATGCTATACGTGCTTCTACGGTTCAAAAAATTTCAAAATTAACCACTTTATTTTTGTCACTGAGTTCCATATTCTAGAGGACAATATATTTAATCTTACGATTGTATTTCAGATTGCATTTTCCGTATTCCAAATTTTACAAGATATATACGTACACTTAAAAGAAGACTTATAAAGCACAAGCAACAGCATGCAAAAAGAATATATGTGTAAGTGTTTATTGTCATTCTAATGCGATGCTCTGATGGGTTTCTCTTTATTATTCCAAAAGATCAGTGGAGTCGGCTATGTTCTTTTCAGCTGTACTCCACCAGATTTTATCTTCTGCATTGCTTAGCTTAGATCTAAACTATTTGCCAAGTTTACTTCGCCTACATAATCCACTATGATAATCAGGTCAATAATCTTTTTCAAACTTGTAGTACTTGGAAGGAAAATAGAGCAAGGGGTGTTGGTGCTATTTACCACCGGGCCGGGCACCAAACAGCAAAATCACAAGACAACAAGCAGTCCAGTAGTCGGACACTCGGATTGCGGTACGTGGGGGCTCCTCCACCGCACCCGCGACCTGGCACCCACTCGCTGACATGCGGCCCCACAACTCCTGAGCCCACCTGGCGCCACTCCGCAAAAACGCGTGTTTCGTGGAATTTTTTTCATTTTTAATTTTTTTTAATATTTACAAAAAATATTATACCGACAAAAATATTTTGAAAAAAAAGACCCTGTTGTCCAAGTAGAGGGCAGCAAGGTGACATGGCACACGGCGCCGATGTCAAAATGCAATTTTCGCCGCATGCAAAATTCCCATGCCCGCTCAGCGACCTCTAGCGCTTGCTCACACACGTCACCCTGCCGCTCTCGAGGAGCGCGGATCTATTTCTATGAATATTTTCACCCGTATAATATTTTTGTAAATATTAAAAAAAATAAAAATGAAAAAAAATTATGTTTCGTGCGGTGGCGTGACAGACGACGTGGGCCTCCGGCCTTCGGGTGGGACGCTCGCTACGCTACGAGTGCAAGGCCCGCCGCGACGAGAGACGACGACGACGGCGACCCGCGCGCCGAAGCGATGCAAGTGCGGCCGTGTCCAATCGTCGTCTGCCACCAGCCCACCACTAGCTTCCCTTGTGCACCAGCCTGTCTGATTCTGATCTGGTCGACCACTATCTATCTCTTCTAGCTCCTCGTCCTGCACTACAGTCCACTGCACTGCATTGCGCTGGACTCATGGTCTCATGCTATGCTGACGAGGCTCGGGTAATTGGACGCCTTCCTTCTTGATTATTTATTTTTTTTAATTTTAAAAATAAATACTTTTGAAACTTATTTTCAAAACATTTTGATCATGCTAACCCACCTAGCGTGGCAAAATAATACTAACGCCGCACATCGCGGGGCATTACAGTTTTGTATTGCTATGATGGTTAGAGTGACGTGGCCGAATAACGTTGTCATGCCAACCAGATCGACGTGATAGTTTTGTCTTGCCACGTCATCCAAGGTGGTATGGCCAAATAACACTGACACCAGCCAGACCGGTGTGACCAAATAATGTTGTCATGCCAGCTAGATTGGCGTGGTAGTGTTATTTTACCATACCAATTCTACTGGCGTGATCAATGCTCATATCTTAGAAATAACATTTCAAATGGTTTATTTTTAAAATTTAAAAATAAAAAATCTACCATCTCTTCTAATTAAAATACAGATTTTATCTTAACTTCTATTAGCATATCTTTTAAACCACCAAATGTTATGTTTCCTGTACAAGTTGTTTTAAAATATCAAACAAATATAATTTTTAAATTTATAATAATTAAAACTCAACTAATCCATGTGCTAACAAATTTCTTGTTTTGCGTGCGCTCACTTCATTTCCATTTTAATGTATCACAAGCATCGCCTTAATCCTCCGATCACAACCTAATACAACACTCCTATCTCTTATGGAGATTTTGGAATTGTCATTAGCGGTTTTCTTATATAAAATTCGCCCATGGTTTTCACGTGAATTGGTAATTTGATATAAAACCCTCCCTGTCAACTCACGCCTAAATCTCCTGTTCACCAATATTTAAATTGCTAATTAAATTTTTAAGCAACGGTCAAAATGTTCTCTCCCTCCCACTTGTTCGGTTCTCTAGCTTGCGTGGTCGTATACATAGAATGTTGATTATATGGCACGCCCTTCTAATATTTTGAAAACGATTGTATATGACGCTTTTTTGACTATCAAATGGGCAGATCTTGCGTTATTTCACACTCAAACTGAATCTGATAATTATTCTTGTTTTAATTACGAGAGGCGTTGATTCTGCATGTGCCTAAAGCTAGCTACCCTCACATGAACGCCGGGGGATATTCTACTGTATTTGTGTAAGATCAGGATCTGGCTTTGCTGTGCACACGACGGTATCCTTGCTGGATCCACTGGAGTACTAGTTTGAGTGATGTTTAATCTTTTTTAAGTCGTACTGTGTAATTAAGTAACAAAATTCTCGCCGTTTCGGACAGGTAGTCCACTGAAATTGCACGTTCCCCTTGGCTCTCTTTGGACGTGGTCACGTTGGTTTGAGCTGTTGTTCTTGAGGTCTCAATTGGCAGGATCTCGATGGCGTAATCTCTTCAAAATTTTTGCCCGGTTATCTGGTTTTGAGAGCCGTGGTTGGCTGACCGGACAGATTCTCCATTCTTCTTCAGCGTATAGAAGAATTGCTAGTGTTCTTGGCGTGAACAGGTCGCGGAAAAGGAAGAGGAATTGAACCCGATGAAGGCACCGCCACCGTAATAATCCGATGAATAATCGGTCGTATTAGTATCGTACAGCGACTTTTTTTTATTAATAACCCATAACCTTTATTTCCATTTCAGAAACAGTGTACATGTTTTTATCGTACAGCGACTTGGCTAACGCTTGGCTTAGCAGTTAGCACCTGTTCATGACGTGTTTTGTTTAGCCGACCAAAACGCCGTGGGCGGGCGGCGCGACCACCAGATTTCGCGCGAGACGGCGAGCAAAACAACCGCCCACGTCCCACTCGCCGACACGATGATCGCTGTCACGCGCACCGCGTCAGGACTCAGGAGCCACGACACAAGCAACGTTGTCAACTTCTCGTAGATTCAATCAACCATGAAAGGAGGCATCAGTTCATCAGCAAGAAATAACGTTGGGAAAAGGTTAAATTGAGAAGAGATGGTAATTCTCTTTATATTCCAACACTTCTCTTTACGCGAGGCCTCTTCAAGCCTTTAGTGTGATATAGAAGTGGATTAGCCTTTAGCGTGAAATAGAAATGGACTATAATTTTTATTTAGTTGCACACCAGCCATAATTCGAACTCGAAACCTTTTACTTTACCTTTTACTTTGATATCATATTAAATTGCATGCACCGAACAGTTTAATCCAAAAATTTAAGCTGACGAGGAAAGATGGACCATTCATTTTTTATTCCAACAATAACACACAGTAATCAATCTGTGAAACAATTTGGCACCATATTTTTGACAGCAGCAGGAGAGGATCACAACACGAAAATGACACCGAATCGTTGGTCGACACGAACGAAGTTACAGAATTTTGCAAGGTAAAAATTGCCAGCCGAGATGCATGTCTGATGCTTCCTAGTGCGCGCTCTGGCGCGCGCCCTCCTCGGCGCCGGCGACATCCTCCTCGTCGTTGTCGTTGTCGTCCACCCACTTCCAGTAATGGCGCTTCACGGTGATGGCGGCGGCGGCTCCATCGACGACGACCTCGTCCTCGTGCTCCCCGCCCTCCTCCGTGTCGAACTCGCCGTCCTCGGGGACGCCCTCGACCACCTCCGCGTCCACCGCGTGGAGAACGTACCTGGCGTGGAGCCCCGGGTAGGACGCCGAGTCCCGCTCCTCCACGCGGGCCTCCTCGCCGCCCAGGATCCGGACGCGGACGCGCTCGCCGAGCTCCTCCCGGACGGCGCGGACGGCCGCGGCCTCGGGGGTCTCGCCGGGGCGCATCTTCTCCGACAGCGGGCGGAGCCCGCCGCGGGAGCGGAGCGTGCCGTCGGAGAGGAGCTGCCCGGTCTCCATCAGCAGCGCGCCGCGCCCGTTGCGGATCCGGACGCTGGCGACGTGGACGGCGCGGACGACGGGATGCTGCTGCTGCTGCTGCGATGGCGGCGCCGCGGCGGCGGCGGCGGAGATGAGGACGCACTCCCCCTGTGAGAGCTCGAGGAAGAGGTTGAGGAGGGTCTTGGTTCCCGGCGCCGTGCCCCAGGACGCCAGCGCCGACGCCGGCAGGCGCGAGCCGAGGAACGCCGCCAGCGAGTCCAGCGTCGGGAAGGCCAGCGGCCGCGGCGGCGACGGCGGCCGCATCGCGATTGGTCAGCGCCTCCGCCTCTCTCAGTGGTGGTGGTGGTGGTGGTGGGTGGAATCGCGATTCGCTACGAACGCAAATGGGGAAGAGAAGGGATCGCGTTGCGTCACGTGGAGAAATTTCCACCAGCCACCCAAGGCCGCGTCCTACGGCCCAAGTGCGAGTATGGGCCATAGGAAAGTACACCGAAGGTCCCTCAACTTGTCATCGAGTTACAAAATCGTCCTCCAAGCGCAAAAATAGGTATCTAACGTCCCTTAACTAACCAAAACCGGACACAATAAGTACTTTAGGACAAGTACTATAATATCTCATATGTTGCCCCTAAGAATGCCACATTGGATTGGGTGATGAGGTGGAGGAGAGAAGTGGAGAGAGAGAAGATGAGCCACCCCTAAATCAAGAGGCAACCTCCACACAAATTTCAAGAAGTGTGTGAGAGTATTAGAGATATTGGTATTTGTGTGTTAGAGGTGATACATTGTATGTGTTGCCTCTTAATTCATGAGTGAATAAAATAGATAAATTTGAAGATGGTAGTCACATCTACCATAGCACTTGGCCTAAGTGGTTTTGACCCCGGTTTTATGCTACGTGGCGGCTGAATTAGCATGGACCCACGTAGGCCCCACATGTCAGGCTGCCACGTTAGCCTCCTCTCTCTCTCCCTTCTCTCCCTTCCTCATCCCTCTCTCTCCCTTCTGAGTCAGCTGGCGGGAGGAGGAGGGCGTCGGTGGCCGGCGGCCGGTGACGGGCGTCGCGGCGACGGTGATGGCGGCGACGGCCGACGCGACGGCGGTGGGTGGAGCGGCGGGCGGGCGGCAGGAAGGGGCGGCGCGCGGGCGGGCGGTTGGGAGGAGCGGCGCGCGGGCTCCCCCCCCGGCCGCCGCCCACGAGGCCCACGAGGCAGCGGAACGGCGGCGACGACTCGGCATCGTCCTCGTTGGAGGTGAGCGCGGCGGCCCCACCCTCGTCGACCGCGAGTCGCGCGCAGCCGCCGGGGCGCTGAAGAGGTACCCCGCCGCGGCGTCGTAGTCGGGATTAGGAGATGCCGCTGAGAAGCATCGTGCCGATGGCGAGCGGCTTACGGCCGAAGCAGTCGAGGAGCAACGCAAGGAGCACGTAGGCGGGCATCTCGGCGAGCGAGTTCACCGACCGCCTTGCAGACGAACGGCGGCGGGCGTCGGCGGCGATGGTGGCGACGGGCGACGCGGCGGCAGTGGGGGGAGGAGCTGTCGGCGGGAGGCGGCAGGTGGTGCTCCGGAGGACGACCCGGGCATGCCGATGGCGACGCGGCACCTGAGCTGGATGGCGAGGGCGAGGGTGGACCTCATGCCCCACGTCGACGTCGACGAGCCGGCGACCGTGAGGGCGCTGCTCGAGCAGGAAGAGGAGGCACCGGCGTGGCCTTCCTCCGCCTCCCCTCGGCCTCCTCCGCCTCCTCTTGGCCACGAGCCACCGCCTCGCCGCTCCACGCTGTCCTCCTCCTCCGTGCCGCCGCCGTTCGCGTCACCGGCCGCCGCGCAACGTCTTCCTCCGGGTCGGCCTCCTGCTCCAGCTCGACGGCCAGCGACCTCGCGACCGCACGCCTACGGCCTCTACAACCACTGCGGAGGGCGCGAGCGGCGGGGGGAGGAGCTACGCGTGGACGGCGGCCGGCGGGGGAGCCCGTGTGCCGCTTCCCCCACCGCCGCCGCGTCGCCGCCATCACCGCCGACGCCCGCCGCCTAGGCGCTGCCGGCCACAGAGAAGGGAGAGAGAGATGAGGAAGAGAGAGAAGAGAGGAAAAGAGAGATGAGGGTGTTGACGTGGCCAGCTGACATGTGGGACCCACGCTGACTCAGCCGTTACGTCGGATAAAACCGGGTTCAAAACTACCGAAGGATGTCGGGTGACCGGTTTTATATAATTAAGAGAACTCGCGTATCTGGTTTTGCGGTTCGAGGATGTTTTTTACCCTGATTACAAGTTGAGGGACCTTCGGTGTACTTTTCGCTAGAATAATTAGGCTCATGCGTTGTGTCCTTATTGGGATGGGCCAATTTGGATCGTATTTACAATGGGCCTATGCTTTCTATTTTGGTGGGCCAAATGAGAAAAAAGATTTGGAACGAGAGACGTTCCTCCAAACATTTTTAAAAAGAAATTATAAGTGTGTTTGGATTGAATACGGGATCTTAGAGTTGAAACCGCACACCTCTTACCATTACCACTTTCATTTGTGCTGACCAAATTTCATCCGATGGTTGCTGGTAACTCAAAGGGATTCGGTGACATGTACAGTACTACAGTGTACACAGCCAGCAGGCATATTACTGAACAAAGTCGGACAGATGATTAAGCATGTTTTATTTGGACAGTACAGAATTAAACAACTCTGATTCAACCGAGGAACTGATCGACCGGCGAAGAACAGCAATCTACAGAAGAAAGAATTTTGCCAATACAATCCTATGTACTTCCTCATCATATAGTAGTGACCAACTAGCAAACTTGAAACTGCTCTTCTGGATCTTAATTACTACTGCGCCATGATCGTCCACCAGATGAAGCTGAAGCCTACCAAGGACGATGCACTGATCAAGCTCAGGCGATGCGTTGCGCCTCCGCTCGCCGTTGGCTTGGCCGCTGCAAGATTCAGCAAACAAAAGAGAGGCTCAGTTACAAATTACAGCTACATGTCTGTGAATCACTGGAAATTTCTAAGCAAGCTTGAAATGATCTCATACAGAGAGGTTTTAATTTGGCTGCCAGTTCATACTGTGGAAAACTGAAACATAATCTGAATTGTGATGTTCTGAGTTGACAGCGAAAATTGTTGTTCTAATTAAGCACAGGTACCTGTAGATGCAGCGTTTCCAGTGGAAGCTGAAGAAGCAGCAGTGCTACCTGCAGTGCCGGCACCTGCAGGAATTGAAGAGAGTTCAGATCAGCATCCCTCTGTAAATGATCATATCAGTTTTTTGTGATCTGATTAAAATGCCAGAGATCATGAATTGGAGGCCATGATTAAATTGTGATCCATGATTAATTTGCGATCTCTCAATTATCAGGTGCCTCGGATTCTTGTGAGACCGGAGAGACAACTGCATGCTTTAGCTGGCACTAGCTAGCTAGAGTTGGTGCATCAAACGACAAACTCTCCAGCGAGGAGAGGAGCACTGTTAGTGTTAAACTAAGCAATAATTCAGACCATTATTACTCTAGCTAGGAGAAACAAACAAACAAACAAACAAACAAAAGCAGTAGCAGTCAAACCGCATCAACCACTGTACGTATGTCCACTGCAATTAGTAGCAGCAATCTAGCCGCATGGATCACGCCGTGATCGTCGACGAGAGGAATTAATTAACGAGATCAAAACATTGAGGAAATTGATGGAATTATGTGTGTTACCGGCGGCGGCGGCGGCGGCGGTGGCGGAGGAGGAGGCGGACTTGGCGCAGGCGGAGGCGTCGGTGGTGACGCCGCAGCGTTTGGCGAGGAGGAGGCCCTGCTCTGGCGCGACGCCGAACGCCTGGAGCGCGGCCTTGTTGGTGAGGATGGCGCACAAGCACGCCGTCTCGTTGGCGGCGGCCTCCCTGAGCGGGCCGCAGCACGACGCCGGCGGCGGCGCCGCGGTGGCGTTGAGGTAGCCGCCGCAGGGGACCAGCTTCGACGCGCACGACGGCACCCCCGCGGCCGCCCCCGTGTCCACCGCCGCCTGCGCCGCCGCCGAGCTCGAGGCTGCGCCCACGAATAAGGCCGCGACGACGACCACCACCACGGCGACGAACGCCCGCGCCGCCATAGGTGATCAGAGCGATCGAGTGAGGTCGCGGTGATCGAGCGAGCGAGTGAGCGAGGTGGTGTGGGTAGAGTGTACGTAGAGGCGTTTGTGTGTGGGTTGGGTTGGCGGTTGGTGCATGATATATGGGACGTGTCAGTGTGACACTGCCAGGGAGGTTTAGTTGGCGGCTTGTACGTCGGCTAGCTGGAGTACGTTTCTTTCTTTCCACAGCTAATTAAGCTAGTTAGATACTCCCTCCGTTTCAAGTTATAAACTTTGATAAAAGTAAAACTATTTTAAGTTTGATTAAATTTATAGAGAAGAGTAGTAATATATTTTTAACCCAAGACAAATTTAGGGCATGTTCACTTTGACGTCAAAAAAAACCTTACCAAATTTTAGCAACTTGCCAAATTTTGGTAGGATTTCTTATATAGTTACCAAAATTTGGCAACAAACTAAATGTAGCCACTTTTTTGACAACTTTATCAAAATTTAGTAAGGTTGAAAATGACATCAAAGTGAACAGGCCCTTAATATAAAAATATATTCAATTATTGATTTGATTAAATTAATTTAGTATTATAAATACTATTATATTTATTTATAAACTTAGTCAAACATAAAACAGTCTAACTTTGACCAAAGTAAAAATATATTATAACCTAAAACGGAGGTAATAGAACTCATGCGACGAGTAAGTTATAGGCATTACGCTGCCAAATAAATATTTCAAACTAAATTTAAAATTTATTGATAGTTAAAGTTTTACCCATTTGATTTTAGTCATTTTTTAAAAAGTCAATAAATTATGGAAATATAATATATTATTGTACTCTCTCTAAAGTTGAAAGTATTTAACCCATCTTGTCGACCGACCTGTGTGTTTGGAAAAATCTTAAAAAAAAGGTCGATCGGAATCGGAATGGACTCCGGATTGGGCTTAGCTGGATCATCACAGAAAAAAGCCCACCTTGTTGCTCCAGGCGAACGTGGTAGAGATTGTGCAGTTTTTACGGCCGGCGAGCAGTTGAAACTTGAAAGTTGCAGGGCCTCGCTCGTACTTTCCTCTATTCTAAAATAAGCTCATTTCTCAGCTTACCTACACATATCAATAAAAAAGTAAAAAAGATAAAAATATCATTACTGTATTTAATCTTAATGTAATGATTCCTTTCTTTATCTACTTTCTCTGCATTTATTCAGTACTTATACAAATTCTAATATAATGATTACTAAAATAAAATTATTTAGGACAAACGGTATAGGCTAAAAGAACTTAGGATGGGGGAGTATACCGCGGGTAGCCACTAAAGGACCTGTTGAGGTTGTAGCTAAAATGAACCTTACTAAATTTTTGACATTGCTAAAATTTTAGCAATTTAATAATATTGCTATGTTTTGGTGGGATTTTTTATGTATTTTTCAAAGTTTAGTAAAAAAAATTAAATGGGTGTGCATATTTGACAATTTTATTAAAAGTTGATAAAGTTTATTTCGGCTTGATCAGGCCCCTAAAGCTGCATATTCGTTTGGTCGCAGGCTACTCGCGCGTGCCGGGCGGTCGTATTGCTGTCCAGTACAGTGCGACGATCTCGATCACTGATAAGATGAGCATGCATGTACAGTAGAGGATGGTTCGAGAAACACCACACGCATGCATATGATCGATCGATAGCGTCGAGGGCACGCGCGTAGGACGTACTCTGATCATGCATGCATCCCCTATCGGAAGGACAACACAGACCAGCTACGGCATCACATCGGAATCCAATGCAAAACTGGAGTGAGTACACCTCGGCGGTCTCCTCTGCAGTCCTGTATGTACTCTCTCTCTCTTCTATAATATAATGGATTTTAGAAGAATGTGATACATCCTAATCAATAACGGACACACCCATTAGACAGGGTGGGTCGGCTGGTCCAGCTATGGTCTATGTAGTCCCACATCTCCAAACCTTATTTTAGTCCTATTTCTAACACATTAGTTGCTAGTCTACTATTGAATAATCAGGTAAATCAAGTATTTTAAGTAGGAACAAAAATATTTATGAAAATTCGTGTATAAGTAGTAGGATGTGTCTATTCATTGTACTAGGATATGTCACATCTACCCAAAATTTGTTATATTATAGGACCGAACAGATGGAGTATAATATTGTTCGACGAAACATGGATATGTGAGGATCTGTAGTACCTTTTCCGTTTCATATTATACTTCTTCTGTTCTAAAATATTGTTCGATGATACATGGATATGTGAGAATCTGAAGTACTCCTTCCGATTCATATTATACTACTTCCATTTCATATTACACATCCGGTCAAAATCTCTTATATTTTAAGACAGAGGGAGTAAGTCATTTGATTTTTTCCAAACTTTATTAAGTTTGATCAAATATATAGGAAAATACAGTAATATTTTCAATAATAAATAAATATATTTGTTGAAGGCATATCATGAGAACCTTCGACCAAGGCTGCCAAAACCTGGTGGGCTCGATCGGGCGAAGCATAGGGGGTTCACTAAAGGCCAAGACACTTTTGCCACCTGAGGGCCCATAACAAAGCCCATCAAGGAGCCCAAGGCACAATAGACTCTAGTTACCCTCACAAATGCCCATATCATAAGGGTATTCATGTAAATTCTCCTTACTAATTAACTCTAGGGTACATGAACCCTGTACTCATTAACTTTAGGTTGCATGAGTTTGTACTAAAGCTATAAATAGTCCATAGGGCATGTAATGGGGGATTCAAAATTCCACAAATCAATACACATTGTTTTACTTTTCACTGTGTGAACCACGTCTTTCGACGTACACAGTTGTCAATCGACAATAATATTATCAAGATATATTCTTAGTTAAATATAATGAAACTAATTTGATATTGAAAATATTGCTAATTTTTTCTATAAACTTAGTTAAATCTAATACTTTCTCCATCTACTCCCTTAATCTTTATATTTCATCTTAGCAGACGGAGGAAACGGAGGATTTTTGTGTCAGCGAGGCCGGCAACTCGCCTGGATCGTCGCATGGCCTTGTCGCCGCATGCACGCACGCAGCTGGGATCATAGTCTCAACTGTACACACTCTCTTAATTTGCCGGCTGCAGTAGCATGAGTCCTGTTTTATGTGCTCGTTTCATGTGAACACACACATGCAGTATATGCTCTCCAGTTATGCTCCTCTAACTAGCATGAGTTCTGTTCAGATTGCAACCTGCATATCCAAAGATGCACTGTTATTAATGGGAGCCGTCTATGTCAGAGCTATAATAATTTCTTAATTAAAGTCTACCTATACTTCCATTTGGTGGTGCTTAATCTCAAGTTAATGCACGCAGCTGCTTCTGTCCTTTGGAGTCCCCACTATATATGTATACTCCTATCAAGTTAGGTTTGGTTCACATTTGCTGTAATCAACTAATCTTGCATCAAACTTACACAGTTACACATAACACATCAGTTGCTAGAGCTATCAGCTATGTGATTCAGATCAATATCCATTGCGTGCCATGGTAATGGCAGTTCAGAGCTAGCTAGAGCAGATATTGATCCATTATATTGGTTAGGCGCCCATTATTCCACTTGGTAATAATATCACAAGCCATAGATGGACAGATCGATCGATGCATACATGCATAGATAGACACACATACAGCTAGCCTTCATGCCCATTAACTTGGATCAATCCTAGTTGGAAGGTGGCCTACCATAATTCTCAAAAATACTCTACAGATGGCGCCACTAATTAACACTAATTCAATAGTACTTCAAGCAGTCTAGCACCATTACAGGAGTAGAACGTATAGCATTACTATTACAGGAGTATGTACTCCAAGCAGTCTAGCACCAACAAACATTGCATGGATGTAGACATGCTTGTTCATATAAGTCACAATTCTCTGCTCTTCGAAGCGCAACGACGATCCGCTAACCATTTCTTCACGAATCATAAGTCACTTTTTCTCTGAAAATGCAGCTGGTTTCTGCCACTGCATTGGTTTCATTGTTTCCTGCTCTACATGCACAGCACGAGCCAATCAAGCATACAACTACACAAGAACAGCGCAGTTCTTCCGAATTCAGACACTATATGCAGCCATGCAGGCAGGATACCCTTTGCATTGCAACCATGGATGGATGGGTCGTGCAGTCTGAAAACGATCGATGCTTTTCGTTCGATTAATTGCTTCATTTTTGGTACTACAAGGCTGCTAGTGGCTAGCCAAGAAACAAATGAGACATACTCAAACCATCTTATAATATAAGGTATATATTATAATTGGAACAGAGAATCAGTTTAAATTCATAGTAATAAGATTTGTCCTATCCAAGCCTAATATCTTATATTTTAGGACGGATGGATACATATATACCTTATTTAAGCTCTCCCTAGATAATTACTACTATCTCCGTGTTTCAATGTATGACGCCGTTGACTTTTTATTTAACGTTTGATCATTCATCTTATTCAAAAAATTTATGTAATTATCATTTATTTTATTGTGACTTGAATCGTTATTAAATGTTCTTTAAGCATGACATAAATATTTTCATATTTGCACAAAAATTTTGAATAAAACGAATGGTCAAACATTGATTAAAAAATCAACGGCGTCATACATTAAAATACGTTAAAATACGGAGGGATTACAGCTTGCTTGCATTGCAGGTTCTGTACATAGCCAAGAAAAACTCAAACTGCAATGAGCGAGAAGTGAGAACATAGCTTAGCTAGCTATAGGGGAATGGTCAGCTGCGCTACTTATTGCGGAGATTGAGGTATATATCAGGCTCTTGAATGAATCTTGATTCCCGGCGCCGCGAGTTCGTTCGTCAAAGCGTGATACTAATCCAGAATCCTAAGTAAAGAACCAACTGATAAACAAATCACACGGCATACCTAAGAAAAAGGTATGGCCATGTATCTTCTGTAGTAAAAGCTAGCTCAACGCATGTAAAAGTACATGCTTTAGGGCTTGTTTGATTTAGTGTCCTACCAAAGTATTGGTAGTGCCAAAACTTACGTATGTTTTGGCACTACCAATATTTTGGTAGGATAGCATTTTAGGTGAATGGATTTGGATTGATACCAATTGGAAGCCAAATTTATATTATACTCAGGAAAGTTCTAGAATTATACCAAATTAATCATGGTCATTACCATTCACTTGGCTTCAAACCAAACCATTACATTCACTATTCAAACTACGAAACAAACTGGTAGGGCACATTTTGGCATCAATCCAAAATGGCCCATAATGCTTATACAGTAATATAGTATAGTTACTTTTTTAGATCATAATATAGTTACTTTCTGAAACTTTGATGCTTTCACTTCGATCATGGCCATGTTTAGTTCACCCCCAACTACTCTAAACTTCCAACTTTCCATCATATCACATCACATTCAAAACTTTCCTACACATATAAACTTTTAACTTTTTTCCAAACTTTTAACTTTTCCCAAACTTCCAACTTTTTTCAGGAACTAAACACAGCCCATATATCATGTACTAAAGAACTGTGTTCGGATGCTACTTTTCCCAACCTCTCTCTCTCGTTTCCGCACGCACGCTTTTCAAATTGTTAAACGGTGTGTTTTTTTAAATAGTTTCTATACGAAAGTTGCTTAAAAAATCAAATTAATCTATTTTTTTAAAAAAATAACAAATACTTAATTAATCGCGTGCTAATGGATCGTCCCTTTTCCGTGCATACTGTACACCGTTTCCATCCACCGGTAGCGAACACACCCTCCTTCAAGAAAGTATAGAAGGAATCTACATGTAACATGCTGTTAGTTGGCAGATCAGCATACATACTTTGGAGGAATTCTGTACGGAACATTTTACTTGGCTAAATGCTGACACAATAACTGATATTTTAACGAACTCAGCCTAAACTGAAGGAAAGAATGTGAGTCAAAAGGAGGGTTGAAAATCACAAAAAGGTGTAGGAGACCAAACCCAGAATGGTAGTGAGTGGAGTGGACCAGATATTAGGCCCATGTCCAACTCCAACCATTGCATAATTCAAGCTTTTGCACATGCATGTGCATGTACCTACGTACCACAATTATTTGAACAGGTTTTCAAACCTCATTTAATATCTTCTTTCCCATCAAAATGAATAAGTGTACTCCTCACCCTCAAATTAACCTCATCATGTCATTGCAAAAAATATCCATTATTCAGAAAACATCACACATGATCTCATTCCGATCCAATGCTCTCTGCATAAATGTATCTTACTTATACTATGATTTGATTTGCGATAGTTCAAATTTTGAAACATAAACAAATATGTGCCAATTGGAGTTCATTAGGAAGATGAGTGTGATGTGGATGGCATCACATGAGGTGGAGGTCCACCAGAGCACGGGAGTAGGCCGGATCCCATCGCTTGCACTGCACCCGACTCGATCAGCTTCAGCTCGCTTCCCACGGAGACAACCACACGAGATTTCCTCTCTTTCTCACTAGACACTAGTCTCCTCCTGCTCATGGCCCATCACGTGATCGCACCTCTTCTTTTGTGGACATCTTCTCTCATTTTTACTCCTCCTGATTCTGGAATTTTCTGTTTAGGTCCCATTCTTGTCACAAATGTAACCCCTTGCCATGCTCTAGTTATGCTCGGCCATGTTTTGTAATAATTCTGGTTAGGTCCCATGTTTTGTAATTTTTTTAAATAAAATCATAAATATAAAGTTTTAATAGAAAATGTACCGTTTAATAGATTGAAAAATGCATATTCATGCATCATTTCTCACTCTTCCAGCTAGGATATTGATAACGTGGATAGCTATTCAACCTGCTGAATGTTATTGTACATGCTCTTAAGAGAGAATAAAAGCCTATCGGTAAAAAAGAAGTAATGGGGGTAAAGTAGTTTATCAAATTTTTTTCACACTGAGCTGATGCATGTTGTGGTCCCTTTAACAAGGTAGATTATCTTTATGCCCAATTGTCTATCTATAGCCAACATCAGCATGGAGCAATAACCGCTCTAGGTCAAATAATAGCCTTGCAAATTTTAATACTCACTAAATAACTAGACTTTTCTAGAAAAATCTCCACCATGTCATAGTACAATGTCTTTATCCATGCAAGGTCCAAACTGGAAAGGAATTTTGTAAAAAATATTAAGTATTTCCAACAGTTTTTTCCCTCTCCTTATAAAAGTTGGTGCTGGTCAGTACAAAACAATCATTCAAGTGACCAAGCAAACACACAAAGCGCCACTGTGTAGCTCACTGCTCACTCATCAACCAACTTCCTCAATAATGTCTCGCTCCAGCCTCGCCATGGCGCTCCTCCTCGCCGCCTTCGCCGCCGCGGCGACGGCGAACAGCGGCGCAGCGCCGGCGGCTAGCGACTTCATCCGCAAGTCGTGCCGCGCGACGCAGTACCCGGCGGTGTGCGTGCAGAGCCTGGCGTCGTACGGCGGGGCCGGGGCGCCGCCGCCGCGGAGCCCGCGCGAGCTGGCGCGCGCCGCGCTGTCGGTGAGCGTGGACAAGGCGCGGTCGGCGTCGACGTACGTGGGGCACATATGCGGCCCTGGCGGCGGCCGCGGCGGCGCCGGCGGCGCGGGCCCCGTGCGCGACTGCCTGGAGAACATGGCGGACAGCGTGGGGCACCTCCGCGACGCGGCGCAGGAGCTCGGCGGCAACATGGGGCGCGCCGGCTCGCCGGGGTTCAAGTGGCACCTGAGCAACGTCCAGACCTGGTGCAGCGCCGCCCTCACCGACGAGAACACCTGCCTCGACGGCCTCTCCCGCGGCGTCGACGCCGCCACCCGCTCCGCCATCCGCGGTAAGATCGTCGAGGTCGCCCAGGTCACCAGCAACGCCCTCGCCCTCGTCAACCGCGTCGCCCCCGCCAATTAAACATCTACTCCTCCTATAACTAATTAAGCTTTTGTTCTTGGAATCTTGGTCGAGTTCATCTTCGTCATGGGTTAATTAGCTCAGTTAATCTCGATGCGTCGTCGTTGCTATGGTTGTAACATATACTGTACTGCTAGTTAATTATCAAGACTTAATTAAAAGAGTCGATGTAATATTGTAATGGTTGAGTCTTTACACCGAAGATGGTGAGGAAATTAATCCGTGTTTTGCTTGCTAGGTACAATTATCGATTACTGTTTGATTGATTGTTTTGCTGAATATTATTGTCACATGAGGAGGAACAGAAACAGATGAGAGAAAATCATCATCAGCATCACCAAACAGGGAAATGAATGGATCTTGAATCGATGGGGACTTAGAACAGGTTAAGGAAGGCGACGTTTCTTTCTTCTTGCGTGGATTCATCGGAGTTTCTTGTTCCTGGTTGGATGAACTGTAGCCAAGATTGGATGGAGATGGACACCAACCTTGCTGTCCTGGCATGCTCGATCAGTAAATGAACGGAGTGCATTTGTCTGCTCTGCTCCTTACCTATACGTGATGAATTGATGATGATCATGTGGTGTGGACGTTAGGGTTTAATTGCAGAGCAGAGCCAAATTGAATGTTCGTCGGATTGAACCAAAAATCTCGTGCAAAGTTCGCAAAAACCAGTTCGCTGCTGTTCTTCTTTGGTTGTTTGGCTACAAGAAAACTGCTGGTCCCATAGACAGAAATGCGAGAAATTTGCATGATTTTTTTTTGCCTCCAGAACCAACAGCAAGATATGTATACAGATCAGAAACCATTGTGGCATTGTACATCTGTACTGTAGTGTACTGATACGTGGCATGGGCGTTGGCCGTTGGCCTGCCAATTGGCGACGCAATTATGCCAGTCGGATTGGTCGGTGATGTCCTTATCTAAATTTTAGATTAAATCTCTGAATAATCCCTCGCAGAAGAACAGTAGTATGCCCAAATAAATGGGACCTTTGTGTCAGCATTCTTCTCGGATTCCCGTTGCCATGATCGGTCTGATGCTGATTAAGCAAAGCGTGCATTGTTACTGGTAGGTGAGGGTAAAATACTTACAGGGAGACTGATGAGGGAGCATTTTTGCATTTTAGATGGATTGACAGTGGCGCCGCGCAGCTTGTACATAAGTCTCCTTTGAAACAAAGGACAAATAGATGAATTCTACAGGAAAAATTTGAATCCTATGGGAGCAATTCATATGAGGACCTCTGGAAGAAAGGATTATATCCCTAAAATTGCTTTGGAATGACATGTTTAATGGAATTCCTTTTTTTGCTTTGGATTTTTTTCTCTCTCTTCTACATACTGTGTTTTTCCTGTACTTCATCCAAACGGTTGTCTATGTAGTTTTTCTGTATCTTCAAGGTTCAATGACATTTGAATCCCGCTTTTCTTATTTCTATAGGCTTGTTCAAATTGATGCCATTTCAAACCATATTATTTTTTTATAGAGTTGCCAAATATGTGCATCCATTTAGTTTCTTACTTCATCCGTCCCAAAATGTTGCTACCTAGGATGGGTCATCCTAGGACAACGAAGCTCTGTCTAGATTCGTTGTCCTATGATAGGTCAAATCCCATCATAGGTAGCAACATTTTAGGACAAAAGAAGTACCAAACTTTAGTAAATATATAATAAATCTTACAAAAATTTGGTAAGATTTATTTTGGCTATAATCTGAATGGCCACTATGGTTTGAGAATATTGCGTTTGAAAGGAGCACAAAGATTATGTGTATGTTAGTGTTACTACTTACTACCATGTGGGACCCGACGTGGCAGGCTTAGGTGGCCACGTGCAGTTAACATCTGCCAACTCAGCTGGATGATGGCATGATGCATGTTGGCCGGCCGGCTTTCTGCAGCACACATCTGGAATTGCAGGATTCTGTCCATGGCCGACATGGGAGGGAGGCGCTCTTTCTTTTCCTTTTTCTTTTTCTTATTATTGGGCCTTTTGGACAATGAGATATTTAGCCCGGCCTTATTTTGTTGAATTCTTAAGCCCGCTCCTGCCTGTGCAGCGGGCCAGCCTTGCCGGTGCAGATGCAGGTTGGCAACTAGGCCGTCCGAAAGGCCCAAACATACTAGTCGTCTTCTTCTCCTATGGGCTGGCCCATACAGAGCAGGCCAAAATTGATTGACATGTACCTTTTGTACATGATCCACATTACATACCTTTCGTAAACACGAAAAAAAATTACATATCAATATATTAGAAGAAAACAGAATTTAAGATACACAATGCAACGTACGCCGAAAGCGGGAGGTACAACAAGAAAAAAAAACTAGCACAAAAACCCGTGAAAAGAGATTTAAAGGACTAAAGCCGGTAACACATTACATACGGGGTGTTCGGTTACCCAACTGCAGTGCTCTCCAACGCTGTTGCTGCAGCGGTTACCGTAGAGATTGTATGTTTGTTACTGTATTTGCAGGCAGCCATCTAGCCATATCGAATAGCCCCACAATAATATTATCACCTTTTTAGATAATGGTATGATAATGAGCTATTCGTGCGACATGATAGTGAGACGCCGGCCAATATGGACAAGGGGAGTTCAGAGAAAATGTCGCTTTAAGCTCCTGTTCCTTTAAACCTTTTTTTTCATTTTTGCCACGGATTATTTGTTCCGCAGTTCTTGAAAAAATTATTATATTCTATTGTTTATACTATTTATTGATTTATCACGTTAATCAAGTAAACAACGCGTAAAAAAATTGTGTAAAATTCTGTTTCAAACAGGCCTGTGAATATATATGCACTGTGGCGTGCATGGTGTAATTACCAGCACTGTGGCGTACAGGGTGAATGCACCATGCATCACGACGAATTTATTTGTTGGCCGGCCAGGATTTACGATATAATAACACTACTATTATCCTATCATTATAGCAAAGATTAATGTTTGCAGTGTTATAATTACAAATCCCCCCTATCTATGCATGGTCTGGCCGGCCTGCACATTATATTGTTTGTGGATTGACTGATCAATCAGCACTACTCAGGGTTTACCTTTTGATTTTTAATTAAAAACCTCTCCTAATCAGTTTACCGAAATCTAACCGAAAACTTGTAAAAACTGATAACTTACCATCCGGTTTCTACAAACTGACCAACAATGGTTTCAAAAAACCAGGCGGATTTCACGAAACCACTCAGTTTTGATAACCCTAGCACTGCTGATCTTTCAGGTTTTCTTCACTGAATCATCCCTTGCAAATAATGTGGAGTGGTGGACCGTTTTTGTTGTTTGTTTGTTGAGCATTACGATCATGGGCTGCATTTGTTAATAGCATATGCGGCCGGCATCGTTTATATAACAGCTAATATATGGTACCTAGGTTCTAGCTAGGCGCATCCGCGCATGTACTTATCTATTCTATTTTAAATGATACTAGTGGTGTGGTGTACGAGTCTGCCTTCAATGCCACGAGCTGATGTGTAGTATCTAATCAATTAACTATGCTATAAACTTGTAATTATAGTGCTTGTTTGGTTTAGGGCCATACCAAAACATTGGTAGTGCCAAAACCTAGGCATATTTTGGCACTACCAATATTTTGGTAGGGTAGAATACTAGGTAATGTGTTTGGATTAATACCAATTGGAAGCCAAATTTTATATTATGGTGAAGAAAGTTCTAGAATTGTACCAAATTAAGCATGGTCATTACCATTCATTTGGCTTCAAACCAAACCATCATATTTACTATTCAAACTACCAAAAAATTGGCATGACACATTTTGGCATCAATCCAAAGTGGCCCATATAGCTTTTTCTTTGGATATGGCATTATATGACTAACCAACTAACTATGCTATAAATTAAACTTGTCATTTTTGTTTTTGTTTTTTGGTTTTACAATACCCGTTGCAACACACGGGTCTTTAGCTTGGTTGTGTGTGTGTTGGCATATACAAACAGCATTCCCCTAGCTTGTCAATAGTTGAGGTTGTTGATGGCACAGGGTAGCTGTTCTCTAATTAAGTTCCCTGAGCTTAGGAGATGGCAGAAAATGAATTCTGTATGCTTGACTTTCTTTAATTTTGACATTGCAGTGAATTGAATCATGGTAATCTTGCTTTACTGATAATTTTTCAATATTTGTTTATGCGTTTGGCTCTTAATCATCTGATGACAAACAAATATTCTAGCTTTCAGCTTAACGCATGCTATCTAGAAAAAAAAAAGCACGCGCCCACACAATATGTATGATGGAGTTACCAAGCACATCAGACTTTTTGCAGGCTGTTTTTTACAGCAGCAGGCATATATAGCACCGTGGTTCCAAACAAATTAAGCAGACCATTGAGCTTTGACTACTAATTAATCTCTCAAACAAGATAGGAGGTGATGATGTACATGCTCCCAAAAAAAAAGGCAAACAAATATATGATTGGTCAAACACATCTGCCTAATTATTAATTAGTGGTTAACTTGTTAAGTACGCCTAGCTCATCAACTGTTTGACATGTGGGGCAAGTGGCCGAAAAGCTAATTTTGGCATGTTCTGGGGACAGGACCGCATCGATTTGCTAGCTAATTAGCTGTTTCTTTCGGGTATCCTGTCATGATAAAAAAGGTGATAAGCCTCATGACCAACATCGTCACATTCATCCACATGGTCCTCATCCCCGAAAGATCTGCCTTTTTTCCCTTTTGTTTATTTTTAAAGGAAAAAAATAATTTTTCAGTTTCATTTCTATCCCTTCTCTACAATGTACTCCTTTTATAAAAAACAATAATAATAATTCAAATCCTGAGGATAAATCTGAACATGATCATCATGTCTAGTTTCATCATCAGAATTTGATTAGAGTTAAGAAACCCTCTTCTTATTCCTTTTAATTTGGGACAAGAACACAGTCAAATTTCAAGTCGGATTCGCTCGAGGAAATTAAATTTGCATTGTTTGATCTTGACATGTTTGAGACTGATTTGCCCCCACACTTAATCTGGGGAAGCTTCAGGAAAATCTACGTACGAATAACCTGGATCAACATGATCGTCAAAATAGGGTTGGCTAGCGAATTGATTAAGCCCACCTCATTGGTTTGATTGAAGAACACGTCGGTATCGTCAACGCTGCTAATTAAACTCCCATAATCATGATCCTTCTTCCTTTCTCCTCCACAGGATCGTCGCTCACGTCCCGACCATCAGAATCTTCCACGACACCTACATACAACTATTTATTTGATTGTG